TGGAAATACTCTTTCTTTTTGCAATTCTTCGCCTCAAATTTCAAAGTAAAATATTTAATGTAAAATAATCATGACTAAGAATTGAGATGGTACACAATACTACCTAGGAAGTACTGTGTAGTTTTTCTTCTGTGTCCATAGAGGACTGGTCCCAGGACCTTGCCTGTGAAGCCAATCTCCAGAAATGGGCTTAAGTAAGCCGGGCATGGTGGCTCATGCCTATAATCCCAGCACTCGGGAGGCTGAGGCAGGAGGATCATTGCGAGCTCAAGGCCAGCCTGAACTGCATAGCGAGACCCTGTCTCAAAAATAAGAAATGGGCTTAAGTTCCTTTTCTAAGATGGCATAATGTTTGCATGTGACCTATACATTATTATCTTTAGATTATTTATAATACTCAGTGTAAGTGTATTTATAATACTCAGTGTAATGCTGTATGAATAAATTGTTTATTTTCTCGAGAATAATGAAAAGAATAGAGAATAAAGAAAAAAGGCTTGGTTTTTTTCGAGATAGGGTCTATGATGTTCAAATTTGTGTTGAACTTACTCTGTGGCCCAGACCAGCCTTGAACTTGTAGTGATTCAAGTACAGGGTTTATAGGTGTGTGCCACCATGCCTGATATATAAATATATATATGGAGATATATGTAGATGGATATACATCTATATACGTCTATATAGAGAGAGACATATAGGTAGATATAAATAGATAGATATAGATGGAGATACAGATACCCGTGCATGGTGGCATGTGCCTATAATTCTAGCACTGCAGGAGACGTAGGCAGGAGAATCACAAGTCACTCTGGGCAATTTAATGACTGTATGAGACCCTGTCTCAGAGCATAAAAAGGGCTGGGGGATGTAATTCTGTGCACAGGCCCAGGGTTCAATCCCTGGTGCCTCTAAAAAGGGGGGAATATCTACACAGAAAAATGTTTCTGATAGGATGCTGGATGCTCTCTCGGGCAGCCCATACACTGATAGGAAGCTGAGTGCAGCTGTAATGGCTGGCATCTTTTGAGTGCCTACTGTGGGCCAGACAATAGCCGAGTTGTTTCCCTTAAATTCTCATCTTCATTCTAAAACACAGTGGCCAGCAGATTGAAGACCAAGACTTAGATCCTGTACTTGCTTAAAGTCACAGAACTAGAAAGTAGTAAGCTAGAACTGAAATCTAGGTTTTTCTAGAAAAACCTAGCTGTGCCAGGATGTGCCAGGATGAAGAATTCGTGATGTAACACGTACAGGGGAGCAGGTAGCAGTGCACACCTATAATCCCAGCACTTAGGAAACTGAGGCAGGACTGTGTGTTTGAAGCCACAAACCACAAAGATAGGGTGGAGGTGACGCATGAAAAAAAGGCTAAGAAGAAAGTACCCCAAGCTGGTGCTAAGGGTTCGGTGATAGACGGCTCACAGGTGCTGTACTTTGGTCTCTTCTGTTTTTCTAGTCTTAGTACAACTACTTTATACCTTAAAAGAAAAGTAGGGCTGCGTGTGGTGCTGCACACTTGTGATCCCAGTACCCAGGACACTGAGGCACGAGCGTGGGTTCAAGGCCAGCCTAGACTATGTAACAGGACCGTATCCTTAAAAAAAAGAAAGAAAGAAATTATCAATTACTAGAACCTTTAGAACAGCAGTACTTAAATTCTGTCACATTTTTATATATTACGAGTATCAAAAAGTAGTTTTCAGGGCTGGGGATTTAGCTCAGCGCTGCAGAGCCTGCCTGCAAGTGCAAGGCCCTGAGTTTGGTTCCCAGAACCAAAAAAGAAAATAGTTAAAAAAGAAAGAAAGGTAGTTTTCTTCTTCCTCTTCCTCCTCCTACTCTTCTTCTTTTTTTAAAATAATGCACTGGAAATCAAACCCAGGGCCTTATGTGCACTAAGTAAGCACTGTGCCATTGGGTTATTCTTCTAGTGCCCGGAAAGTAATTATCCTTGTTTATTTTATCCCTTAATTTTAAAAATACTTCTTAGCCAGGTGTGGTGGCTCATGTCTGTAATCCCAGCATTCAGGAGGCTGAGGCAGGAGGAGTGCCATGAATTTGAGGCCATCCTGGGCTACATATACATAGTTCAAGGCCAGTCTGAACTATATAGCAAGACCCTGTCTCAATAACGTGTGTTAAAAAAAAAAAAACTTTTTTTCTTGAGCTCAAGGAAGAAATTCCAGCTACTTGGGAGAGTAAGGCAGGAAGATCACAAATTCAAGGCCTGCCTTGTCAACCTAGTTAGACATTGTCTCAAAAAGGTTGCAGATAGACTTCATTTGTTGCCTCCCTTGTTACCTCTGATCTGTTCCCAGTACTATAAAGAAATTATTTTAAAAATCTGACTTACTGAAATAATAGTATTTTTAAAGTAATGTTTATTGGCATAAAACATGGAAGCAAGTAGGTACTGTCTTAATGAAACTGTTGAATTATTTCTACTTTCAAATTGTTTTCTGATTTTCACTCATTATTCATTCCATTAAGTGGGTATCTGTTCTGCCACACTCTTCTCTGCATTGGTATTGTCAGCCGAAATACTTAACTAGTAACTCTGCCTTCATTCCTAAAACAAACAGCTGAACTGGAGTTTGAGACAGTGAAACTGTGTTTGTCCCATTTCTTGAAAAGACATTACAGATCTGTAGCCCAGACCATCCTGTAACTCTTTGTTTCTAATTTAAGTATAAAAGTTTGAACTATATCTTTAATGTTGATGGGTACGATCCTTTATTTTTTTAAATAGTAACAAAGTTTTATTAAAGGTAGGAAAAGTAACAGGCTCTGCAGTGACTTTGGGCTAGTAAAAGTAGGAAAAGAAAGGGGCTGGAGATTTAGCTCAGCGGCATAAGCGCCTGCTTTGCGAGCAGGCAGTCGTGAGTTCGATCCCCGGTACCGATAAAAAAAAAAAAGTAGGAAAAGAAGTACATCTGCTACAGTTGAGGGCAGGCCCGTGCAGGAGACGGCAGAATGGCTGTGGGCTTTTCTGTTTGTTTGTTTGTTTGTTTGTTTGGTACTGGGGATTGAACTCATGACTGTGCTCTTGCAAGGCAGGCGCTTATGCCGCCAAGCTAAATCCTCAGCCAGTGTTAGGGTTTCTGTGTATATTTAGGCTGGCTTTGAATTCACAGCAGTCCTGCTCCCCCCCTCCCCCCAATTATAAGCATGTGCTACCATGCTGGGCTTAAAATCTGTTTTTAAAAAGTGTCTTAGCTAGGTTCTCGTTCTCCTCTCCTCTCCTCTCCTATCCTCTCCTCTCCTGTCCTCTCCTGTCCTCTCCTCTCCTCTCCTCTCCTCTCCTCTCCTCTCCTCTCCTCTCCTCTCCTCTCCTATCCCCTCCTCTCCTGTCCTCTCCTCTCCTTTCCTCTCCTATCCTCTCCTCTCCTGTCCTCTCCTCTCTTCTCCCCCCGCCCCCATACTTTCAGCCTAAAAGAAATGTTTTGTTTTGAAAGACAAGTTGGTTTCAACTCCGTTTCAGTCAATAGTTAACTGGCTCCAACAGAGGAGCATGGCAGACAGAAAGCACGGAGAGAAGTAACGGGGACAGAGGTGTACCCTTCCAGTCCCCACCACTCTACTACCAGACTCCCACCTTCGCTATAACCCAGTCACCTTCCCAAAGCTCCTCCTATGAGTACGTGACAGTCTTGAGGGGTATCTAGATCTAAACCATAAATAACATTTCATCCCTGACCCCCAAAAGGTTCATGCATATCTCCAAGCAGAATGCATTTAGTCCATCTCCTAAGACTTGCCAAAGCCCTAACAATTTCAGCATTCCCTAGGCAGACCTTCTTGAGTGCAGTGACCTTTCCTCTGGCTTTCTTTTTGTGGGGTTTTTGTTTTTGTCCTTTTGAGACAGACTTTCACTATGCAGTTCAGGCTGGCCTTGAACTCACTATGTAAACCAGGTAGGCCTCCAACTCCCAGAGATCCTCCTGCCTCAGCCTCCCATGTGCTGGGATTACAGGCATGCACCACCGTACCCAGCTATGGGCTTTCTTAAAGCAAGTCTCATTTTTGCAGTTTGGTGGGGACTTGCTGCTTCTTCATGTCCTCAAGGCATTTTTCCTGTTGGCTTCTTTTTAATGTTCATCTTTTCAGCAACTCAGCTCTCCTCAGCTCTTCCTTTCTGAGGAAACTAAACACTTTTCAAATGGGCTATTTGCTCCTGATTTTCATTAAAAACCTGACTAAAAGCAACTAGCAGTAATCGTGGGGCAGCCAAATTTTCCTCACCAGTCTTGTTCATCTGCTGTCTGTAGTCTCAGGGTGTGGGCAGTTTAACTGCCCACGGGTAGCACACATGCCCTGGATTCCAAGCGTCAGTGGTCCTTTTTCCAAACTGACACCTCCTGAGCCCAGCCTCTGTTTGCTGCCTTTTTTGTTTTTGTTTTTGTTATTTTTGGAGCTATCATTGGACTCACTGTGTAGCCCAGGCTGGCTTTGAACTCACAATGATCCCTCTGCCTCATCCTCTGCAGTGCTGGGGTTATAGGCATGTGCCACCATATCAGTTGGCCATTTGCGTTTTTAATCTTTATTCTGATCTGCTAACCTGTGACCAGAATTTCCCATCAAGCTCAGCATGCAGCCTAGTAGGGGTGCTTCTACAGTCTGTATCTCCAAACCTTTCAAAGCCTTCCTATGAATCATTCCAGAGGTTTCTGAACCACATAGTCAGGTAGCATTACAGCTGTGACTACATTCTCTATACCAAAATTTGTTTTAGTCAACTTTCTTTGTCACTGGAGCAAAATACTTGACATCAGCAACTTAACGAAAGGGACGTTTAGTTTGGTTCACATTTTCAGACCATAGTTGGTTAAATCCAAGACGAAGAGGGCTTAATGGAAGGGCCTTGGCAGAGAAAAAGTACTTGTGTGTCACCGTGGCCGGGGATCATAAAAAGAATGTTTAACAGTATCTGCTTAGATGACAATTCTTTCTAGTCCAAGAGATCTCATAGGTTTCTAATTTTTCTTTCTTTTTCTAACTAGCACAACAGATTTGTCTTGGATTGTAAAGACAAAGAGCCTGATGTACTATTTGTGGGTGACTCCATGGTACAGTTAATGCAGCAGTACGAGGTAAAGGTGTAAGGGGGTGAGGGTGGTTCTTGGTACTAGAGTGTATGATAATTGCTGGCTTTGTTCTGAACTGACCTTCTGCAGGCCCATTCAGCAGACCCTTAGAGAAGCTCTAGTTCGAAATACAATGGAAATCAGACCTAACTAGTGGGATTCTGTTTGCCACCAAGCATGAGACAGAAAAAAATTTGCATTATTTTAAAATAAATTTTCTTTTTTGTTTTAGTTTCCAAAAAGCTAGATATTTGTTTATATTTTTCCTACTTATGAGTTCCATTATTTGTATTTTGCCATTTTCTTATATTTTTTTGTGATGAGTTACTCCAAATACTTTTTAAGAGTTAGGCTTTCTTCCAAAGGGAATTTAAAAGAAAAGATAGTTTTATTTATATATATATATATTTTTTTATATATATATATATATATATTATATATATATATATATATATATATATATATATATATTGGTCTTTTTCGTTTTTATTGGTACCTGGGATCAAACTCATGACTGCCTGCTTGCACGGCAGGCGCTTATGCTGCTAAGCTAAATCCCCAGCCCCAAGAGGAGAGTTTTTGAGTTGGCAACTGAGTTAAAAATATTGGTAGGGTGGGGACATCGTTCAGTGGTGTTACTATACCTAGCATGCATAAGGCCCTGGATTTGTCCCCCACCACTGACACACACACACCCCAGCCAAATAAAATGTTGTTGTCTCTGTTAGAGCATCAGATTGAGCTGTGACTGTTTCTAATGTTGTGTTACTAAGAACTGAGTAACAGTTTTTAATTGGAAAGAAAGAATGGAGTGCACAGACTTTACAGCCCTTTAAACAGTGTTAGGTTTGAATAAAGACAATGGGAATTGTTATTTCAGATGCCTCACAACGCATTGCAGTTTAAAGATTTCATTTTCCACTAATTTTAGCTTAATAACATGAACTTTTCCTCTTTAGATATGGCGAGAACTGTTCTCTCCACTTCATGCACTTAATTTTGGAATTGGGGGAGATACGACAAGACATGTTTTATGGAGACTAAAGAATGGAGAACTGGAGAACATTAAACCTAAGGTGAAATGAAACTCGCTTTTAAAAGAATGTCATTAATTTTGAGTCTTTTTCAAATAAATTTGTTAAATTATCTGAAACTGTAGTACAAATACATTCCTTTTGTAAAGCACTGTTTCATTACTGGCTTAACTTTGTGTCTCTTTAAGGTAAATGACATCGTCATTGCATCAGAAAGTACTAAGGACAGGGCTGGGGATCTAGCTCAGCGGCATACGTGCCTGCCTTGCAGGTGCTCAGTCATGAGTTCAAGCCCTGGTACCAAAAAAAAACCAAAAGTACTAAAGACACCAGGGTTGTGTTTGTAATTGTGATGATTACCTTCTTCTGTTGTAGGAAGAGACTTGGTACAAAGGATGTGTGTTATTCTGTGGAATTCATGGACCTTGGACATATGGGGGGCCGTACAGATGTAATGCAGATTTTATTTTTATACAGTTGACTTTTTTATGTGTTTTGTTGGGGGTGTTTTGTTTTGTTTTGTTTTGTTTTTATAGCTCCTGGAGTTTGAGAGAGTAGCTTCTTTCTTTCTTTTTGTGTGTGTGTGTGGTTTTTTTTTTTTTTTTATCGGTACCGGGGATCGAACTCACGACCGCCTGCTTGTGAGGCAGGTGCTTATGCCGCTGACCTAAATCCCCAGCCTCGAGAGAGTAGCTTCTTAACTCGCTAATGATAGAAGCCTCTTGTTTCCTCAGTACAGTTTTACCACTTAAATATTAATCTGCTTGGAGTATGTTTTGATCCATGATTTGAGCTGTAAGTCAGTGTTTCAGGGGTAAGTGCCCAGTTAAAGCTATTTAACACCATCTGAAAAATTCATCTTTCTTTGACTTTTTAAAATTTTATTTTAAACAAAAGTAAAACAATCTCAAAACAAGATGATTAGAGGGCAACAGTGGTTAATACATTGCGCATTGTTATCTTTAAATTAGTTACTCAGAGTACAAGATATCTTTTTTTTTTTTTTTTTTTTTTTCCGTCTTTTTTGAGACAGGGTCTCACTGTGCAGTTCAGGCTGGCCTTGGGCTCACTTTGTTGCCCAGGCTGGTCTAGAACTCATAACAATCCTCCCACCTCAGCCTCCCGAGTGCTGGGATTACAGGTGTGAGCCACCACGCTCAGCTCTCTTAACTATCTTTTATACATGTATATATCACACATACATATATTTCTTTTAGCTTCTCACATTAGGAAGGCAATATGATGTTTACATATACAAGCCTGATTTATTGAACTTATGAATATGGTCTCTAATTGCATCCATTTACCTACAGAAGTTTCTTTGACTTTCTTTTGTACTGAGAATTGAACTCAGGACCTTGTGCTTGCCAGACAGGTGCTGTGCTGCTAAGCTGTATCCCCAGGCCCTTTGATTTTTGAAGTAAGATTCTCATCTAAATGCTGGAATTCTTTATTCCTCAGTGTTTATCTTTTTTCTTCTTTTTTATTCTCTCAATTGTAGGTCATTGTTGTCTGGGTAGGAACAAACAACCATGAAAATACAGCAGAAGAGGTAGCAGGTGGCATCGAGGCCATTGTACAACTTATCAACACAAGACAGCCACAAGCCAAAATCATTGTATTGGTATGTAGTCTTTGGGTGGATGGAGACTTTAGTATCTTGGTGTCTGCTGAGGAATCTGTTTTGAAATGCAGTTCCTCATAAATACGGAGAATATTAGGTGGGTGTGGTTTATGATACTTGTGATCTATTCTCTGATATATCCCAAGCTCTAATTGATCTTATTATTCTGCTTACTAACTTTAGGGTCATCTTTTATCTGCTTATCCGCCTTTAAAAGTGTAGAAATCCTTTGTTCCTCAGATATCCCTTTTCATTCTTTTTACTTCTAGTAACAAAAAATTTGCACATAAGATTTGTTTGAACCTTGTGTCTTTTATTAGGCTTGGTTTAGCTTGGTGTCGATACATTGCTTTCTTCCACTGTTAGCATGTTGAAGGTGGGCCTGGTGTGTGGCACACTCCTGTCCTCCCAGTGCCTGGGAGACTGAGAAAGAAGGATCGAAAGTCTGAGACAAGTTAGCTGAGACTCTGTCTCAAAATAAAAAGTAAAGAGGGCTGAGATCTAGCTCAGTGTGAAGACTGGGTTCAGTCCCCAGTACTACCAAAAATGTATGTGGGTACATATGTATGTTAAAGGTGGTATATTTATTAAAAATCTTAGACTTTTCTAAAACATTAGAAGTTAATCAGTGGGAAAAGGGGCACTTAATAGTACCCTAAAGATTATTTTTTTATAAAATAAAAGTATTCTTTATGGTCTTAAAGATTAAACAGCTTTTTTTCCCCCAGTAGAGAAGTCTAGCTCTGAACCAGGCATGGTGGTACACACCTGTGATGCCATCACTTGGGAGGCTGAGGATGAGGATTGCCTCAAATTCAAGGCTAGCCTGAAATACAGAGTGAGACCCTGTCTCAAAAAATAAACAAAAAAGTGTCATAGTCACTGGTGTACAAGGCACTGCTGTAGATTCTGAGCATGTAAAAGTGAGTAGAATGTCATCTTTTAAGGAGCTCAGTCTGGTAGACGGAGACAGCCATACGGAGAGCTGCTGCTGAGAGTCGGGGAAGAGGAATGGGTGTAAGCGGGGAGTAGGAGTGTGTTTTACACAGAAAAGTGCACATTCAGTCTCAAACAAGTCACAGTCTCCAGACAGATGGGGGAAGGAATCAAGGTAGGGCATTACCGAGAAGGGTGGGGAGAGAAAAAAGGCCTGTGCATTATTTGTTTGTAGAATAAACAGAGAAGAATGTATAGAGTGTGAGGCTGGGATGTTAGGAAAAGGAGACCACAGGGAGTTTAGATTCTCACTTTACTTACTTATTGATGTAGCTGTTTATATTTTGCCTTATTCTAGAAAAGATTACACAGCATTGCCGTTCGGTCTACGTTTGAGCTGAGCATGGCAGCACATACCTGTAATCCCAGCCTCTCAGAAAGATAGTTTCAGGCCTTTTCTAAAAATAAAAAAAATGGAAGAAAAAAGTAAAAGGCCAGGGATGTAGCTCAGCAGCACAGCACCTGCCTGCTTTGCGAGGTCGTGAGTTCAGTCCTTGGTGCCCCCGCCCCCGCGCCCCCACCCAAAAAAAGATGTAGCTTGGTGATAGAGCAGTTGCCTAGCATTCACAAAGCTCTAGGTTCAGTGCCCAGTATTGCAAAGGGAGAAAAAAGTCCATTTCTGAAATATGGTAACGCACAAAGTGCATAAATGTTGCTAAGTACATTTTGTGTTCTTCATTCAACAGAGTCTCACTGTGTAGCCCATGCTGGCCTTTAACTCTGGTAGGCCTCCTGCCTCTGCGTTCCGAGTACTGGGATAATGGATGTGTGTCACCGTGTCTGATTAAGACACGTTTTGTCCTAGTAAATGTATGTGGCTGTGATTCATCAAGACAGCATTGGTTCATTCCTCTCTGTTGTAGTGTGCTATGGTATAGCATCCATGTACATTAATAGGTAGATATGTCTTTAAACTGGGTTGTTCTGATGGCTTTATGGAGTAGGGATTAAAGGAGGAACAACACTGGAGCTGGAAGACTGTTCAGGACATGTTCCATTAATTGAGGTGAATGATGACAAGACCTTGAGTGACAGCAATAGGGTAAAGAAAAGATAATACATCTCCTTGTTTGAGGCAGCGCTTTACTGCGTAGTTCAGGGTGACTTGGGGCTCACTATGTAGCCCAGATGCACCTCAAACTCATGACAGTGCTGCTTCAGCCTCCTGAGTGCTGGAATTACAGGAATGTACCATCACACAGCTAGCAAGATGATGGATCTGAAATCATAAATAAATAGAGAAAAACCAGTGGACCTTCACAGTTAATGTTCTTCTCTGCTCTGCCCCAGGGTTTATTACCTCGAGGTGAGAAGCCCAACCCTTTGAGGCAAAAGAATGCCAAGGTGAACCAACTTCTCAAGGTTTCTCTGCCAAAGCTCACCAATGTGCAGCTCCTGGATACAGATGGGGGTTTCGTGCACTCGGACGGTGCCATCTCCTGCCACGACATGTTTGATTTCCTGCATCTCACAGGAGGGGGCTATGCAAAAATCTGCAAACCCCTCCATGAACTGATCATGCAGTTGCTGGAGGAAACCCCGGAGGAGAAGCAGACCACCATTGCCTGACTGGCCTCGTCAGTGTTGATAGCGTCCCAGCTTCCTCAGATCAGTTATGTCACTGGCACTACAGAATCCTCTTTCTTAAGGCACTTTGCATTGTAGGATGTTCCTGGATGCTCATATCTAGTGTTTGAAGGGGAGGAGGGATTTAAACTGGTCGTGTATATAGAAGGGTTTTTGACACAGGAAAACAATTAGCCAAGAAGATTGTTGTTTAAATTCATTTGAAACCAGAAGGGGACTTTTTAGTTGTATGTGTGACACCTTCATTGAATTATCACTTTTTCCTAAAACTGCATCAGGCCCAAGTACTTAAAAAAACAAAGATTTTTTTCTTGGCCTTTTTCCCCCTGGATTGTGTTATATATAATCATTATCAGAATCACACCTACTTAGCTATATAACAAATTCTTTTTTCTGGTTTTTAAGGTTTATAATTCGGCCTTTTTTATTTTGTGTTACTTGTATGTGTGCTCAGTATTTTGTTAATGTACAGCATCAGATTAAACGTGCTTGTCATTCAAATATGGGAGATGCTATAGTGACACTCTTAAACTTTCCTGTGTTTAGCAGTGAGAAACAGGTTTACCCTCTCTGGGAACTCTTTGGAGGATGTTATTTTTATGCTGCTGAATATCATGGCTATAATAGAGCCGTGCTTGCAGCCTTTTCTTCCCTTTTCTCCTCCTCTGTTGTTGTTGTTTTGGGGTTGTTTGTTTGTTTGGTTTCCTTCCTTACCGATACTACTGTGTTTTACCGTATTTTTGACCTAGGACCTCAGTTGATGAAAGTGTAAGTCCCCAGCCAGTTGCTCTCATGATGTTACTATGCATGACTCCTCCTAGTGGGATCTGTGCGTGGAGTCTGTGTGGTGTTACACATATTAAGAGTTCTGGTGTGTTTTTCCATTAAAGCCCATTAACAGTTTTTAGCATATCTTTTTGGAAAAAAAGTCAGAACTCTGTTTCTCATTTCATAATATCTGACATTATTTCAGGCTTTATAGTATCTTAAGGTATGTGATTCTTTGTTTCTTTTCTTTTTTTTCCAATTTTGGGGACACACATACTAGGGAAGTACTCTGCCACTGAGCCTCACCCCCAGCCCTATATTTTATTTTTTTATTGGCTTAAATCGTATTGGTCAAAAAAGATTCGGCTTTTTCCATGGGGAAACAGTGAACCTGCTCTCAGAAAAGACGTTCTGTGTTTATTCCATCATTTTAGTTTTTTTTTGAAGATAGATCCATCTAACTTGTAAGGTTTCTTCCTAGTGTAGCTTCCCCTGAGAGTTTCTTTCAAAAGAAGTCCTTATAATCTTAATGGTTTTCTTGAGCCAAAAGAACTTCCATTTAGAATAACAATATAACAATAAATGGCTTATTATTGAACTATGAATTCTACAAACTGGATCTACAACATGTTTGAACTGGACCAGCTTGGGTATTGAAGTGACCCATCAAGTGTGCGCTGCAGTGGTTCTGTTTAATGTTCAAATTCAGTAACTAAACTGTATGCTTTACGTTCTGCTCACAAAGCAAATGGGGAGAGAGGCTTTGTGTATTGGAGTAAGGTTTATGGATTTGTTCTAAGACCCATTTCTGATTGGACTGTGTGTGTGTGTGTGTGTGTGTGTGTGTGTGTGTGTAGCCTCTTTCTAGGAGTTTGCTTTTGTTTTCTAGTTTTCTGAATATATCATGTCATTAACAGAGAATACACATGGTGTTTACTAAACTTTTTTACTATATTGAAATTTCCTTTTTATTTTTAGTATCCCACGTTCTTGAGTTTTTCAAAACAGATTTTTTTTTTTTTCCATAACTGAGGTATAGTTTCAAGAAGGAGAGTTAAGCCAGAATTTTGTGTGTAAAAGGACAGTCGCCTATCCAGGTCTTTCTGTGTCTTATCAGAAAGTAGGAGGATGGTCCAGAAAAACCCACTAGGTTACTCCTGTAGCATGCGCTTTAGCTTCTCTCTTGACTGCATATCAAAAACCCTTTGTGAGCTGTCCTACAGCTCCTTTGTTTATGTATATAAACCTCAGATGTTGCTACATTTTATATCTGCCAGAGCTCTTCAAGCAAAGTGTTTGAACCACTAGTCTTTTAAATAAAATTCTGCCCTATTGCCAATGTGCAGATACTAAGTCCACTTTCTCATTTTTTGCCAGATATCTTTGCAGTGTTTTAGGCAAAAAAGGTTAATCTGTTTTTCTTTGAATGACATCCCAGTTTGCTTTAACAGCAGAATTTACCGCTAAGTCTTTGTACTTTTTAAAAATGTATACATTTAATGCACTGTCCACGAGAACTGTCCTTGTTGTCCTTGTGGAAGGGCCAACTTCCCAGGAAGCTAGCAGAGGTGCCGCCCTGTTTCTTTCCTAGCAGATTTTAATCCCTTTGCCCATCCGTTCCTGCTACCGGGCACCCAGTGACCGAACTCTTGTGATCTCTGTGGTCATGTCTGGAAGGTGGTGGGTTGAAGGAAGATACACTGCCAAGAGCAGTCTCATGGGTTGTTCTGCTGCCCACATATTACAGACTGTGGTAGACAGTTCTGTGGCTACCACGGCTCTCTGAAAGTTGAGGACATCTGCTTAGACCTGAATCTTCATTCAAAACTCTAACCCAGCAAAACAAATCTTAAGTAGCTAATGCCCTGTTAAGAATTGTAATGTTAGTTGTTTAAAAACAAAAATTCTGACTTTTTAATTTTTTAACCTAGTCACTGTTTACAGTTGTATGCTAACCCTGAATTACTGTCTGTGCTGTGGTGTATGAACATTATCAATCTTATATTTATTGCAGTAAAGAAGAAACTAAAATATACAAAAAGGATGAGTGTGTCCAGGCTCCTGAAGCTGTGGGTGCATGTGGGAGCAGTGAGTGGGCACCTCCTAAAAGGAGGCCTTTTGGGGAGGTCCGCATGCTCCCCGTGGTACTCCTCTTAGAAAATCACTGCTGCTGGTGGACTGAACCTCCCCAAGGGGAGCTTGTGACTCTGCTTTGGCAAAGTTTCCTTGACTAGTAGAGATCATCTGTTTTAGTGCATATTTCAATATAAATGTCAACATTTCACTCAAACTTGTTTATGTCTTTGTTTCTTTTATCATTTTAGATTCCAGTGGGAAAAAAGGATTTTTTCTTGCCTTATCATAAGCAATTTGGATACATTAGTCATCCTGATGCCTTTCTGTGGAACTGAATGTAGCAAGCCAGCTGTTATCACTTGTGTTGTGGGAGTGAGGGCAGGGTGGTTGAATGGGGTGAGGAGGTATCAGAAATCCTGGGTAGATAAAGGGAAAAATTGTCAAATGTTTCAGATTGCTGAAGAGTATGTGGCGTTAGTAATGTTTCCACTATAAACTGACCCTTTTCCTTTTTTTTAAAGTTCAGCGTTGACAGTTTGTGCACATCAAATGTCATAGGTGACACTGTTTCTGCTTTCCTCACACTAAATCACCAGCTTGTGTGGTGTTTGTGTTACTTTTTCTAAACTTTGGAAAATCTCTCCACTATTTTCCTCAGTTTTAACTTTATCCTTCAAACAATTTGCTGTGTTCTAAGTTCTTGTGTCATCAAGGTTTTTTTTTTAAACCCTCAGGAGCCAGGTGTGATGGCACATAATCTGTGATCCCAGCACTCTGCAGAGCTAAGGCAAGCAGAATTCAAGTTGCAGCCCAGTTAAGGGCAGCTTAACAATTTAATGAGACCTTATCTCAAAAACTAAGGGCTAGGTATGGAGTTCAGTGTGAAGTTTATTTGTTTGTTTCTTTTTTTTGGAGGGGGGGATTGAATTCATGACTTCATGCTTGCCAGGCAGGTGCTCACACCACTGACTAAATCCCCGCTCAGTGTAAAGTTAAATGCCCATAGCTGCAAAAATAAAGCCTCAGGATATATCCTGTTAATCCCTAGGGCTATATGTAGGTGCGTCCCTGTATTGCTATTGACTGAGGGCCCTAGGGACTAGGTTGTACATCTTGTCATCTGACACAGTCAGTTGTGATGTTTAGTTGTTCCAGAATTTGAGCACAGCTTTTAACCGACCTCAGAGACCCTGCCTTTGCATTACTCATTCAACCTGAGGCATTTTGGCTCCAGAATTTGTGTCCTGAGTTCATTACAGATCCCCAGTTTCCTTTCGGTTGCAGGTGCTGGAATGAAATGACAGCCTTTCAACAACAACAAAGCCCTTCCCTTGAAACAAACTAACAGTTTCTTTTGTTTTTTTTGCAGCCATTATACTCTAAATTCTATCTGTTGTCATATTCTATCCATGTGGTTATAAGAACTATTAGATTATTTAAAAGCACTGCCTAGCCCATCCTCCTTTGTGAATTAAAATCTAAAAGACTAGTGATGTAGCTTGATGCTAGAGTTCTTGCCCAATAATTATGTTAAGAAATAATGGAGAGGCTGGGCATTTAGCTCAGCGGCATAAGCACCTGCTTTGTAAGCAGGCAGTCGTGAGTTTGATCCTCAGTACCAATAAAAAGGAAAAAGACCAAAAAAAAATCATGGAGGTTTAAGTTCTGTCAAAATACATTGTAGGATTACAGTATCCAGGCATGAGCTTGTAATTCCAGCATGCTGGAAGGCTGAGGCAGGAGGATCACAAGTTTAAGCTTAGCCTCAGCAATTTAGTAAGACCCTCTTTTTTCCTTAAATTTTATTAGTACAGATTTGCAGTACATAATGATCACATTCATGCAATGTCACACCTGTACATAATACATACTCTTTTTACACTCCCTTTCCCTTTCCCTCTGTGAGTCCTGTCTGTTGAAGAAGGCTGGGGATGTAGCCTAATACAAAGACCCTCATTCAATCTGTAGTAACACACTAATTAAATACTAAAAATAGGGACCAAGAATATAGCTCAGTGGTACAGCACCTACCTGGCAAGCGTGAGGTCCTAAATTCAACTTCCAGTATCCTCCAAAAACAATTTTTTTGTTCCTAAAATGTTTGTGTGTGTTTTTTTTTTTTTTTTTTTTTTTTTTGTCTTTTTCCTTTTATCGGTACTGGGGATTGAACTCATGACTGCCTGCTTGCAAGGCAGGTGCTTATGCCGCTGAGCTAAATCTCCAGCCCCTTGTGTGTGTATTTAATAGAAAAGTGAGGTATGAGAAAAACTCTAGACTGGTTCAGAGGAGTAAAGGTAATCAACTCTGAATATCTGAAGCACTGGGGTTATCCAAGAAGGTTGAGGTATATCCCAAGATGAGAACTAGAGAATAGAAGGGTACTTTCTACTGAGAACTTGGAGTAAGGACCTGGTAACTGCATGTACTCTGGATTCAGTCAAAAATGGGCAAAGTTCCTCCAATTTCATAAGCAGAGTTCCATGCTGCTTTAGAGTTGGAGGGGCTGCCCTTTGTTGTATTTGGTTTTTTGTTTGTTAGGGTTTTTGGTTTATATTTTGTTTTGTTCTGGGTACTGGGGAGAAAACCCTATTTGTATTCTAGCACTGAGCTACATCTCCAACTACATCACCCCTCTTTTTAAATTTTGCAATAAGGGCGCCGGGCGTGGTGGCTCATGCCTGTAATCCCAGCACTCGGGAGGCTGAGGCAGGAGGATCGTTGCGAGTTCGAGACCAGCCTGGGCTACAAAGTGCTCAAGGCCAGCCTGAACTGCATAGCGAGACCCCTGTCTCAAAAAAGACAAAAAAAAATTTTTTTTTTTTTTTTTTTTTTGCAATAAGGTTGCAGTAGGTAGCCCAGTCTGAGCTTGAATTTGTAAGGTTCTGGAGTAGCTGTCATTAGGTGCGAGCTGCTGTGTTAGGCATGGGCTGCCAGTGTTTATCAGTGATCTTTGGGGCACAGATTGAGTTGATCAATTATTTATCTGCCTGTTGCCTGTAACCTGATGACCAGCCCTATCTCCTGGAAAGCATTATACTGGTTCCATCACAGGGGAAGAGGGAAGCAGGGGAGGTGAGTGTGTTAGGGCACATGCCGGTGTGCCCGGAGAACGCCCAGTGTTAGGGGATGGAAAGTGACTGGTCCGTCTCTGGCAGAAGGTCCTGCCCACCTGGTCAGAGCTGCTTTCTCTCGTCTCTTCTTGTTTTCTAGACAGTAGCTTGGGGTGGTGAGCGTAGCCAAGCCCCATACCATTGTGCAGTATTTAATGCAGGGGGAATGAGAAGGCCTCAGAGTTCAGTCTGCCACGTCTCACATTGCAGGGTTTTAACTATTAGAACTTTTTGACATCAAAGTAATTATTTCTCTTGGGGTGTTGGAGATCCAACCTAGGTCTGCTCTAACACTGAACTTTACCCCCAGCTCTTTATTTTTTTAAATTTTAAAATGGTGGTGCTAAATTGCCCAGGCTAGTGGAATTTGTGATCCTCCTCCCTCAGCCTCTTGAGTAGTTGAATCAGCCCTCGCAGGCATGAACCACCATGACTTTACCTTATCTGCAGAATGGCAGGATAATTCCTCTATCATGACCTGATTCTTAGTCTGCCTTGCATCTATCTTCATAGTCCTTGAAAAAGAGATAACCAGGCACAAGGGAGGCCCCGAGACAGAATTTATCAAGGGAGAACTTGCCCGTGGCTGCTTTTACTCCAACAATTCTTGAGCTCCAGATGGATGCACTGAACCCTTTCTGTAGTCATGAGGTCCAGGAACCTCAGATCTGTTTCCTTTTGATGAGTTAGCTTTTTACCTGGGCGAGTTGTGCCACTGGTTCCTAAATTACATGCCTGGTTGGATTAGGTAATCCCCTGACTAATTCTCACTGTATCCTGCTCCTGGTGCAGCCTTCAGCACATTCTAACAATTCCCTTGAGCCAGTGGAAGGATCCTCACCGTCCTCTGCCCCACACTGCACGAATTCCTTGTGACTCAAAATGGAGCTGGGCCCAGTGTGGTCTGGGAGCCACGTTGGTTGCTTGGTGAATAGTCCATTTGTTTGACCATATGCCGCACCCGAGCTCAGAAAGGGTGGCCCAGAAAGGGGAAAGGAATCACCTGAGCCTCATGACCCCACCCTTCCCTTCTCAGAGCAGCTTGGGTTGAGCTTTTTATGTAACATGGCAGAGAATTCAGTGGGCCTGTGCAGAAAGCCGCAAGTGCTGCCCAAGACTCCATGTTCCCCGCTACACTCGCCAGTCTGGCTTTGAGGCCAGCTCTGCCCTTCTGTGCTGCTGCAGTCAACAAAAACGTCCTTCTCTCCTCTCTGCCAGGCCTCAGAAAGGGCCTATTCATAACTGAGCTGTACTGTTCCCTCGGAGGAGGTGGGGTGAGGAATGTCCTGCAGACCTGGGAACAGCTAGAAAACCTCAGGCTGCTGCCGTACCCCACCCTCTGAACAGCCGTATCCTGGGGATTCAGAGGTTAAGCCCCGAGACCTGCAGGAGTTCAGGATCCGTCTGGGTTTTTTAAAAGTGTGTTCCAAGATGCCAGGAAGAAGGATATTGCCGGTCAACAGTTGTGTAGCCCTACGGCAGTAGTTCACAGTCTATTGCCGAAGTTCCTGGAGTGCTCAGCTTGCTGCTGCATGCTTGTAATCCCAGAACTCGGGAGGCTGAGGCAAGAGGATTGCCACGAGTTCAAAGCTAGGCAGAACTACATAGCCAGACTCTGTCTGTCTGTCTCTCTCAAAAACAAAAAAAAAAACTACCCAATTTCCTGATTTGTTAAAATGGGGGGGGGGGTGCGTTACATATTGGAGTCACCTGTAATCCTAGCACTTTGCCTTTGTACTGAAGAGGCTGAGGCAGGAGGATCATGAGTTCAAAGCCATCCTGGGCTAAATAACAATTCCTTGTCTCAAATCAAACCAGCAGGTTTTGAAGTGCACTGTGTGATTCACTAAGTGTGGGACAGTGTAATAGAGCCCCAGATGTGAATGCCAGCCACGGGTCACATTGTGTCTCAAAGACAGGCCGACCTAGAATGCTTCTTGCCAGTCCCTATCCTGGCTTTAGGTAGTACAGCCGGGTACCAGCCGGCAGAAGCTGTGGCTCAGTGACCTTCAGTCTGTCTTCACAACACCCAGGGAAGTTCTGGCATATGGTGGAACATTTAAATTACATCAAGCTAAATTATCAGCATGGGAGTGATTCTTGGAGTTTGTTTATTTACTGGAAATGAGGCAGGGTAGAAGAAATAAAGATAGGAAAGAGAGAAAATCATAATTTAAACATTGTACTTTGAAGAAGCTTGAGATTTAAGGACATAAAGTTGCCCAAGGTATCTGTATCCTACTCCCTAGCTTCATTTATTCTTTGCCTCCAGGCCCAATCCAGTTAAAATCCCTTAAAGATATGTTAAGTCCATCCATTAGTTTAGTTGATAAAGGAGAGAGCAGAAACCTGACCTTAAAATAGTGAAACATAGTCAAAGTTTTCAAAAAATGTTTTTTGGGGAAATAGATCACTCATTTTAAAAAAGCAATGAAAAAGTCCCATGGACCAGGACTGTGCTTTTCTTCTGAAAAGTGGGCCATCATTTTTACCTATAAAATGAGCCCCTTTTTTTTTTTGAGACAGGGTCTCACTATGCAGTTGGGGTGGCCTTGAGCTCACTCCTGAGTGCTGGGATTACAGGCATGCACCACACACACCTGGTCTACCTATGACCATCACTACTTCTGTAAACCAAATCTAAACTTTTCTGTGGATTCACAAATTCCACGAACTTCCATTGCCAAAGTCCTACAAATAGGGTTTTTGGCATAATGCCTCTGTCTTCCTGGAAGGACTCCACTCTAGTTCTTTATGTGTATTTTTAAAAATGCCTAATAAATACCTTTATGTCTCTCACTAACTTGACCTAAAAGTCCTTTTTCTGTAATGGACATTTTTGAAACTGCAACCTGCCCTTTGGTTGGGCAAGACTAGGTTTCCCATTTCTGCTTTGGGAACCTCCTTGGACCCTGTTCTGTGACAGAAAGATGAATAGAGTCACCATGAGAAAATGAAGTTCATTTGGAATACAGAAATCATACATGGATTCCCCAAATGAGACAGCTGACTACATTTGTTTTTGAGACAAGGTTTCAGTATATAGTTCAGTCTGGCATTGAATATAGCCTTAAACAGCTCCTCCTGCTTCAGCCTCCTGAGTGCTAGGATTATAGGGATGTGCTGTCTCACCTGTCAAAGAGTTTTGTTTTTGCATGGCATTGAATATAGCCTTAAACAGCTCCTCCTGCTTCAGCCTCCTGAGCGCTAGGATTATAGGGATGTGCTGTCTCACCTGTCAAAGAGTTTTGTTTTTACATGGACGCACATGAAGATTCTGCTCGTTACCCTGAGAGACCTCTAATCCAAGTTTATCTAAGGTGCCAGCGACTTGAGGGCAGGGGCTGGGGTGTAGCTCAGTGGCACAGCACATGGTCAGCACATGTGAGGCCCTGGGTTTGAGCCCAGCACTTCCCCATCGCTATACACAGAAAAAGACACTGTGTGTAACAAGCTACTGATAAGCATTTTTTCTGGGGTTCATCATACCTGGTAAAGTGAGGAGTTGGGCAAGGAAACCCTAAGGTACTCTTGCAGCTGCCTTTTAAAGGCTTGCCTGTTGTTGCCTCTAGCTTTAGACTTCATCCTAAAGAATGCTGTTCTTGGAGCTGGAGGTTTAGCTCAGCGGCATAAGCGCCTGCCTTGCAAGCAGGCAGTCGTGAGTTCGATCCCCGGTACCAATAAAATGGAAAAAGAAAAAAAAAAAAAGAAAATGCTGTTCTTGGACTGGGCCAACTCTAATTCTCTCATTCACCATTTTCCCAAGAAGAGTAACTGGTCACATTGGTGGTTATTAAACATCTATTGCAGAAATGAATAAACCTTTATAACCGGTTATAGGGTAACTAGTCCTCACTGGAGCCATACCCTGATGGTAAGGCGGGGCAGCAGATGGGACTTGCAGTCTTCCACATGCACTCTTGCCTCATGAGAGAACTCTGACAATGTCCTGAGCCTTGGTGGCTTTAGCAGGGTGTCTGACAACTTTAGAAGTGGCCACATTTCTCTTCCTTTAAACATACTTAGCTTACCTAATAAGTGGAATATATACACATTGTAATAGATTTATACAATTTAATTTTGGTGCTTCCAGCATGCTAAACAAATGTTACCTGTTTTGAGACAGTTTCACAGTTTAGTTCAGGCTGGCCTTGAACTACGTAGCCTGGGTTAGCCTTGAAGGCATGGTGATCCTCCTGCCTCAGTCTGTGAAGTGCTGGTGCACCACCAAGCTGTGCTAAACACATGTTCTACATTTGTAAAATGTATAAAAAAGAAACTTTAGCTGAATGTGATGGTGTATGACTATAATCCCAGTACTTGGGAGCTCAAGTCAGGAGTACTGAGTTTTAGGCCAACCTGAACTACAGTGACATCTTATCCTAAAAACAAAAATGCCTACGATCCAGTGCTTTATATTGGTTTGGTATTTTTGTGCACTTTCACGTAGGTGGGGGGAGGGGGTATTTATTTGAGATAGGGTCCTATTATTTTGCCCAGGCTGGTCCTTTAAGGGATCTGATCTCCCTGCAGGTTCACATGTTTTGTTTTGTTTGTTGGTTTGGCTTGTGGGGGAGGGGGGATCTGTTTCAGACAGGGTCTCACTGTGCTTTCAGGCTGGCCTTGAATTTACAGTGACCCTCCTGCCTCAGCCTCCCATGTGCTGGGATTACTGGCATGCACCACCATGCCCAGCTCAGTCTTACACCTTTCATCTATTCATTTGGCTCGTGGTGTTGGAGATCGAACCCTGGGCCTCACACATGCTAAGTCAATGTTCTGCCCTCAGCTACACGCCACCTTTTTTATGTTCTCTTGAAACAGGGTCCCCTAAATTTGCCAGGCTTGCTTTGAATTTCTATCTCCCTGAGCATCTGGGATTACACAAGTGTACCACCATGCCCAGTTTACATGTTATATTTTCAATTTTTTCATATTTTTTTTTCTTGAGACAGGGTCTGGCTTATAGTTCAGACTGGCCTTGAACTTGCAGAGATTCTCCTGCCTCGGCTTCCTAAATGCTGGGATTACAGGCATGTGTCACCACTCCCAGCCTCAATTTTTCCCAATGTGTTTCTCTGTTTTTGGAACATACACTATGTAGTGTCATAGCCTGAATTTTTTACTTAAATGTGCACTAAAGTGTTAAGCATCATTCTTGAGATAATAATAGTGCATTTAACCACTCCCTCATCCGGATTTCAAATGGTTTCCTTTGAAACAACTCACACACTTTTATCAGTATTTCTGATTCCTTATGACAAATTCTCAAGAGTGGAATTACTGGCTCATAAGTCATGAAGCTCTTCAAGCTTCTTAAACCCAGAGCCAAAATATTTCCTAGAAAAGTTTTCGCAGATTTATACTGAAGGTCCTATCTTTCGCTGAGATTTGTAACCACCTTTAAAGAGGAGAAAGAAACCACCAGCTTGGGAAGCATCCGCACAGCTGTGGGCCCTGCAGTGCAGGGTGAGGCACAGGGGTTCTTCTTGCAGTTCTGCCTCAACTTCTCTGCCGGCAGCTCCGCCGTCCTGCTTTCTAATGCTTTGAGTTCTTCGTTTTCTAAAAACGCAGACTAAAAACAGGAGCGGGAATAGAGCGGAGGTTGCCATTGGTGGTATAAGGGCTCCCTATGAGCAGAGAATCTGTCAACAAGAACTCAGCACTGGGAAATCCTTCACAGAAACATCCCCCATTATTAGGTGAACTTCCAAAAACAGGCAGAATGAGGAAACAGAAGGCGGTAGCGTGGTAGAAGGTGGAGAAGGCGTGCCAGGCTTTCCTCTCCGACGGGAGGGTTGCAGCCTCCGAACTGCAAATCCGGGGGCTGGCCCTTTAAGTCCGTGTCAGTTTCTGCTGACGTCACGGCCCCGCGGCTGGCCGCGCTGTTTACCGCCGCGCTGCACCACTCACCGCCGACTTCCGAGCGCCGCGTCCGCCCGCTCTTAAAGGGCCCGCGTCCCGGAGCACGCCGCCCCGCGCGCGCGGCGTCCCGGCGCCGCCACCCCTCGCGCCCCTCGCCCTCCCCGTCCCCTTCCCCGTGGCCGCCCCGCCGCCGGCTCCCTCCCTCCCGGCGTCCCCGGGCTCCCGGCCACCAGCCGGCCTGGTCTCCCGGGCCTGGCCGGGAGCGGGGGCATCGCGGGGCCGCGCGCAGCCCCCCGCGAGCGGGGTCCCTCCCCGGAGCCCCCACCCGCCTGCCCACGCGGCCCTCCGCCCGCGCCCCGGAGCGCCTCCGCGGCGCAGGGAGGGACGTTTCCTAATCTCGGGCCGGGGTTAAAGTTCTGGTCCTGGTGAGATGCTGGAACCTGCGGCCGCAGCCGCAGCCCGTCCCGGAGGTGTCCTGTCGCCTGTCGCCGCCGCCCTCACCGCCGCTGCCGCCTCTGCCGCCCTTCCGGGGCCATGTTCGCTCCGGGCTTGCCCTTCTTGGTGCTCCTGGCGGCCTCGGTCCAGAGCCATATGGGGGTCCTGGGGCCCAAAAACGTCTCGCAGAAAGACGCTGAGTTTGAGCGCATGTACGTGGATGAGGTCAACAGCGAGCTGGTCAACATCTACACCTTCAACCACACTGTGACCCGCAACCGGGTGAGCCTGGGCTGGGCTGGCTGGGGGCTGGAGGCTGGAGGTGAGGGGTGAGCGGGCAGGGCGAGGCCACCGAGCCGGCTGTGCGGCGGGTTGCTTCCCGGATCCGCGCTGGAGTCTCCTCGGCGGTCCTTCCTGTGCCACCAGTGTTTCTCTGCAGCTCCATCTGGACAGGGTTTTGTTGTTTTGTTTTGTTTTGGACCGGGTCTCGCTGTTTAGCTCGGGCTGGACCTCACTGTGTGTAGCCCAGGCTGGCCTTGAACCCACTTTAGCCTCCCTAGTACTGGGATTACAGTGGTCCCCCGCCACACCCAGTTCTGGACAGTTTTTGAAGTTGTTCCTTAGCCTTCTCTTCCATCCCTTCCCTCCGTGGACCAGCTTGTTCTCAGCAGGTCTGGCCTGCTTCCTACCCTAACCTTAAGAACCTGGCAGCCCTGTGTGGTCCAGGTAGGAAAGGGCAAGAAGCTTGCTCCTAGATTTGTCCCGAGAACTCCAGAAGAGACAGGCCCAGAACTGCAGAGATTCTCTGGGAGATAAATGCAAGATTTTCCTGCTGAGAAAAGGCCAATTGGTCCTGTAAGTTAAGGGTGGCAGAGATAAGGCCAACTGCAGGTTGGGTAGCAAGAGAAGGATAGCTTGTGCCCTGTGAAGAATCCATCTCACCCAACCAACTTAACCACGACTTCCTCCCCCTTCATCCTCTGTCTCCTTCTCCTCCTCCCTTCCTCTTCATCTTGCTCTTCTTTGTTTTTTTTTTTAAATTGGTACCAGATCAAACTCAGGACCATGCACTTGCAAGGCAGGCGCTTATGCCACGGAGCTAACTTCCCAGCCCCATCTTCTTTCTTTTTTTGAGACAAGAATTCACTGGTCAGTTCAAGCTGGTCTTGAACTTCTTATGTAGCAGACTGGCTGTGGACTTCTCACCTCCTGCCTCAGCCTCGCTGTGTGCCTGGCTTCTCCCGAAGTTCTCTTCATTTCTTGCCAGCCTTGGAAGTTGAGACTGGGTGTAGCTAGGTCTGGGAAGTCTTGCCCCGAGGCAGAGCAGCGTGGGGGACTTCTTGCAGCTGGGCTGTCTCATCTCTCCCCAGAACTGGATTCATTTACTGGGAAGCAGTAGAGTTGAAAATGGACAGTTTGGGAATATTTTTTTCCCCTTGGATGGAGAGGGTTTGGTTTCCAGCAAGTTAGGCTCTGCCTTCGGTGCCTGTCCCCTGAAGTGTGATTTCTTCCTGCTTGGAGTCCTTAGCTCTCTTACCTATATCTGGGCTCACCCAGATAGAGAGCTGCAGTGTCTACTTCTTTGGGAAATGCTACCTTAACCTTAAGCCGTGGGTTTTGGCATCCCATGTGCAACTATTCGGAGGACTTTTTGAGTTCCCACTGCCTGATGTACAGTACCTTCCTCTAGCGCTGAGAATATTATTTTACAAAGCGGGAAACAGACGCAGTAATGAGGAGTGACTCTTCTACAGTCCTGTTTCTGGTCACAGCTAAAGATATAACTTGGCTTTCAACATTTCTCCCTTCCCCGGATCATTGCTCTAACCCCATCCCTGCTGGGCTCTGGCCGCAGTTCTGTTGTTGAACCAGAGCCTGCCGCTGGTTTCTTGGCTCACAAGGAAGGTGATCACTTCTTGCTCTTCTCCTGGGTGTACATGTGCATGTGTGCACAGGCATGTGCATCCTGTGCACATGGGTGAAATGGGTATCTGGAAGACACCCACGGTCCTTGCCAGTGCCCAGGTCCCGCTGCCTGAGAGTCAGCCTCTTCCTGAGCCTCTCCTCTCACCCGGCACCAGTCCTTCCCGGAGATGGGCCTTGTTCTGGCAGGCAGAGTGTTGGTGGCTTTCCAGACTGGCCAGGGTGGAGGAGGGAGGGCAGGGCAGGGCTCACAGTCTCTGGCGCCTTATGTTAGGGCCGGGGCAGAAATGTGAGGACATTTCCTTGTTGTTTGCAGACAGAGGGTGTGCGTGTGTCTGTGAACGTCCTGAACAAGCAGAAGGGAGCGCCTTTGCTGTTTGTGGTCCGCCAGAAGGAGGCTGTGGTGTCCTTCCAGGTGCCCCTAATCCTGCGAGGGCTGTGAGTAGGACCTGGGGTCTGGGGGGGTTGGCTTAGGCCAGTCCTTGCTCAGAACCTCATCAGGAGCCCCCCTGCTTCTCCCACTTCCTGTGATCGAGGCTGGTCAGTGGCCTGGAGGACAAGCCAGCTAGCTTGGGGCTTACCAGCCTAAGGCCTTGGATGTGGTGGGAACCTGACTGCAAGAACGGGGACCTCGCTCCTCTGGAGTGTCAGGCTGGCTGGAATAGCAGCCACTTGCTCTGGGCTCTAGGTTTCAGCGCAAGTACCTCTACCAGAAAGTTGAGCGAACACTGTGTCAACCCCCTACCAAGAACGAGTCTGAAGTCCAGTTCTTCTATGTGGATGTGTCCACGCTGTCACCAGTCAACACCACGTATCAGCTCCGGGTCAGCCGCATAGATGACTTTGTGCTCAGGTCTGTGGGGTAGAGCGAGGGGCACTGTGGGGACTGACTTCCCTTTCACGCTCTGGGAGTGACATAGAGGTCCTTCTGTGCCCTGTAGGACTGGGGAGCAGTTTAGCTTCAACACCACCGCAGCCCAGCCCCAGGTAAAATCCTCCGTCCTCGTCATCCCCGCCCTCATCAGGGGACACCCAGAGGTATGAATTGAGAGTAGGAATGGTCCATGGTGGTCTAGCTGGGAGTGGCTGCATTCTCCATGGAGGGGCTCTCCTGAAGCAGGAGCTGCAGCCCTGCAGTGGTGAGGGACAGAGCAGGACACTGCAAAGACACGAGTCTAGTTGCCACCTTTCCGACTCTTGCCTGTCAGGCACTATCCTGAGTACCCAGTGAGGCTGCTTATAATCAAGGCCCTTTTGCCTGGAGAGCCTCCTCTGCCTGACCCAGAGGATTCTGGGACCGGGCCCAAGGGGCGAAGAGGGCAGCCTCACAACATGGGGCTCTCTCTGCCCTTCTATGCCCTCAGTACTTCAAGTATGAGTTTCCTGAGGGAGTGGATTCGGTGATTGTCAAGGTGACCTCCTACAAGGCCTTTCCCTGCTCAGTCATCTCCATCCAGGATGTCCTGGTAAGTTGCCTGTCCTCTTCCTCTCGTCACTGGGTAGCAGCATCGCTAAAGAGAGGGGACAGAGCCCAGGCCCCGCTCCTTCTGCCTTTCCCCTCCTTCCTCCGCAGTGCCCTGTCTACGACCTGGACAACAACGTCGCCTTTATCGGCATGTACCAGACTATGACCAAGAAGGCAGCCATCACTGTGCAGGTGGGACATACACACACGTGGCCTTTGGGGAGACACGGTTGGCTGAAGGCTGGGTGACTTGCCAAGCCCTGGCCCTTTTCCCCTGCCCCATTCCTGCTCCGAACAAGGCTGAATCTTAGCCAATACCCGTAGCTTTGGGTTCCCAGGGTACGTGACTTGAACTATACCCTCTGTCGTGAGGCTCAGTGCTGTGTGCCTAGAGTCCCAGCTTCTTGCCTAGCTGAAGCTGGAAGAGCGCCAGTTTGAGTCCTGCTTGGGCAGCTTACCTGAACTTTGTCTCAGAATAAAAATACAAAAGAAGTGGTGAGGTACAGCTCAGTGTGAGGGCCCTGTGTTCAGTTCCCAGAACCAAGAAATAATATTTTATGAGGAATCAGTAATCCGTGTAAAGACCCTAGCATCGTATCTGACCCAAAGTAAATGTCAGAAAAGAGTGGTGGCCGTGACCATGGTCCTTCTCCTCTTCCTCACCCTGCAGCGCAAAGATTTCCCCAGCAACAGCTTTTACGTGGTGGTGGTGGTGAAGACCGAAGACCAGGCCTGCGGGGGTTCCCTGCCCTACTACCCCTTTGTAGAAGGTACCCTTTGTGCCTCGGTGCTGGCTGAGGTTGGGGCCTGCTTGTTGGCTTCTTGGGAGCTGGAAGAGGCTGCGTGGCTGTTGGCGGATCTGAGGGGACGTGGGGCTCTGGCCCCCGACTCTCCAACGCTGGCTCGCTCTGGTTCTCGCCAAGCTCCACTTTGACATTTTACTTGCAGGTGAACCGGTCGATCAAGGGCACCGCCAGAAAACCCTGTCAGTACTGGTGTCCAAAGCAGTCACATGTGAGTGTGGGTGACTAAGTGGGTGGGGCGGGTCTCCTGTCTCTCCCTCCCAGACCCAGGGCCGAGGGTATTCTCCATGTGGCCAGGGTGTCGAGGACTGTCCAGACAGCCAGTTTGGAAGGAGCAGGTGTCCCTGGCAGGGAGATGGGGCACAGAGTCCATGACCCAAGACTGAAGAGCAGAGTTCTAGTCCACTCTGCACTTAGGGGCAGTGTAATCTCATCAAGCTTTGGCTTCTCTGTCTCTGTGATAGGAGTCTTAAAGTTAGTCCTGTTAGGCCAGTTGAGAGACTTAGTACAAAATTAGCAAAATTCGTGCCCGGTGTGGTGGCTCATGCCTGTAATCCCAGCACTCGGGAGGCTGAGGTGGGAGGATCGTTGTGAGACCAGCCTGGGCTACAAAGTGAGCTCAAGGCCAGCCTGAAGTGCATAGCAGACGCCATCTCAAAAAAGACAAAAAAAAAAAAAAATTAGCAAAATTCAGGGCCTTGGTCAGTGTTCAGTGAATATTTACTGGGTGATTAAATGGCACCATGTATAAGCTACAGAATATAAGGTAAAAATAAGGGATTATAGACTACAGAATGTAAGGTAAAAGTAAGGGAAACCAGCCTCTCCTGTGTGGCTTTTATTTTTGGCGCCTCCCGTATGCCAGGTGCTGTGGCTGTTTCCTTTTTTCCCTCTCTCCTTTGTACTTCCCTCCTCCTCCTCTCTCTTTCCCTCCCCTTTTCCTTCCTTCCTGTCTCTTTCTTTCTTTTTGAGATAGTGTCTTACTAGATAGTCCATATTGACCTTGAAGTTGCTGCGTGGCCCAGGCTGGCCTTGAACTTGGGTCCCTTCTGCCGCAGCCTTGTGAGTGCTGGCATTACAGGTGTGCAGCACCGCAGCGGGCTACAGGCCACGGTTCGTGAGGAGACTGTGTGCAGAGGGACAGGAGGTGATCACTGTGGGAGCGAAGGACGGAGAAGATTTCTTGGAGGGCACAGTCCCAGGATGGGGTTTAAAAGTTAAGTTGATGGAGTTTTCAAGAAATAGGAAATTCTAGCATAAGAAGCAACATAAACTGGGCACAGTGGTGCATGCCCGTAATCCCAGCACTCCCAGAGGTTGAGCCAGGAAGGATCACCATGAGTTCAAAGCCAGCCTGGGCTACATAGTGAGACGCTGCCTCAAACAAAACAAAACAACAAAAAAAAAGAAACAACATGAGCAAAGACAAAACAGTGTCAGAATCTGAGGCATTTGGGAAGTTGCCAGTTGTGCACCTTGAGTCTTACATGTGAGGGGAGATGCGATGGTCTCGTGGAGAAGCTGTATCATGAAGTGCCCTGGCTACCATGGAGGGCAGTGTTGGACATCTTTGCCCTCCTGCTGCTTTCCTTGCAGCCGAGGCCTATGTTGGTGGGATGCTTTTTTGCCTGGGGATATTTCTCTCCTTCTACCTGTTGACTGTCCTCCTGGCCTGTTGGGAGAACTGGAGGTAAGATGGGGCTGCTGGGCCTCCCTTGCTCTGGGTTGGCGAATAGGGGCGTGGTGGAGATTGGCTGGCAGGACCTGATGTTGCTCAGGGTGGCCTAACCATCCTCCAGCAAGGCTGGTCCCTCAGAGGGTGTGACATCCGCTGAATCTCTGGAATCTCCTTCCTAAGCAGGGATAGCCTGAGTTGCTCCCCAGCATGGGAGCACCCCTGATCAAGGTGGGAGGACAGCCTTGTAAGGATCACAATTGGGTGGCGAGGCAGAAGGAAGGCCAGCCAGCCCAGCACAGAGTGACCCTCATCCTGGCCCATCCACCTGTCCTCTGGATTCTCTCCCTGCAGGCAGAAGAAGAAGACCCTTTTACTGTCCATAGACCGAGTCTGCCCAGAAAGTGGTACCTCCAGGGCGCTAGGGTGGGACGGGCAGGAGTTGCATGGAGGGCCAGTGGTGGGAGGGCCAGTGGTGGGTGGCTGAGGAGGAAGTGCTGGGGGCTTTGGATTATTCAGGCTGCAGTGTACCCTGGTGGCCATCCACCCTGACACACCACCCTCCAAGCTGTCACTTGATCTGCTTGTTCTGTATCTTATCTACACTGTCTGTCCAACTCAGGCAGTACAAGCTCACGGTGTCTGGGGTTATTAACATTCTATTCTCTCTCTCTCTCTCTCTCTCTCTATGCTCCCTTACTTTTTCTGTCTTCCTCCTGCTGGGCCCTTCTCTCTCAGCTTCTCTCCTTGGTAAGCTCAGATGCAGGAGCTGCAGTCCCGGGGGAGGGAGCTGATGTCCTGGGTTGTTGGGGGGGGGGGGCAGCCAGATGCTGTGTGTCCTTGTGGTTGGTGGCTTGAATGTGTTGGTCCCTTGACTTTGCTCTGTCGGAAAGACACGGTGTGGCTCGTGTCCATCGAGAGGCACACCGGGGATCAGGCCTGTGGCGGTGTGGTGGGAGTGTGGTGTGTTTGCCTGGATAGGTGCTTGCTTTTTGCCATTGGCGTAGCTCCTCTGTGGCTCTTTTCTGGATTCTTCCATCTCTCCCCTGGCTCTGGATCTCTCTGCTTCCGAGGCTGAGGGGGTCGCAACCTTTCATTGCAGGTCACCCTCGGGTCCTGGCTGGTTCCTTTCCTGGCAGCTCCTCTTACGAGGGTTACAACTATGGCTCCCTGGGTAAGTATCCAGCTGGACAGTGTGCTTGCCCACTCCTAGCTGAGTCTCTGAGGTAGTGATAGGCCGTGCCTCCTTCTGAGGCCCTGGCCCTTGCAGCTTCACAGAGCCCTGTGGGGTGGGCCTGGTGACCCCTTCTCTGGGGCCACGCCCTCTTCCCTCACCACTTACCGGTTCCCTGCAGAGAATGGCTCTGGATCCACTGATGCTTTGGTTGACAGCACCGGTACTGGGGACCTCTCTTACACTTACCAGGGTGAGTGGGCCAGGCAGGCAGGGTGCGTGGTGCGGGGCCGGCGTCGGCTGGGTGACACATGGTGGGCAGCTGCCTCTTCTGCTAGATGCTGGTACAGGGAAGGGCCTGCTGTTCTCCTGCACCTCTCCTCCCTCATTCTTTTCCCGGCAGTCCCCTGGTAACTTTCCCTTTCCTTTGAAGGGCACGAGCAGTTCAAGCGGCGCCTCCCCCCTGGCCAGATGCGGCAGCTGTGCATTGCCATGGGTAGACGTGGGGAGAGCGTGGGGCTGCCAATCAGCTCCTGCCAGGGCAGTTGACTGGAGCTTGTTGGCTCCAGGACTGGAAGGATGCTTGGCGCATGGCTTGCCATCTAATACAGTAATGCCGGCTTTGTGTCTTCTGAGCGCGACAGGCCCTGGTCCCTGGTGCTGGTGGGAGGCACCTCAGTTACCGCAGGCCAGATGTTCTAGTTTGCTGTCCTCTTTGCCAGCACCTTCCTTACCTGGTCGTCCAGGGTCCGGCTTCTGGCTTTTGGGGACTTGGTTAGGTGAGGTCACAGGAGGAAGCTTCTGAAGGTGGGAGAAAGATGAGGATAAAGAAGGGTGCTCTTCGTAGAGGCAGCCTCTTGCCCTTGACTGTACCCCAGGCCTGCTGGGTCTTTTTTACCCAGAGGGGCAGGGCAGTGTCCTCTCAGAATGCACAGGGCCTGGCCCCTTGTAATCAGTGTGACTGGCCGAGTTCCGTCCTGTTACCTGTGGGCAGGGCCTGGGGTCTGCCTGGCCTGGGAAGCCCTAGCTCCGGAGGGGAGCCAGGAGGGGAGCCAAGCTGGGGCTGTCCCTCTGTGGTCGCCTCTTTGTGGGCCCCACCCTTGCTCCCCGCTGGCTAGGAGCACCTCTTAGCACCCAGCGTCTGCGCCCACCCCTCACCCTGCTCTGAGCTGTGGCCCACAATTTGCCTCTTCCCAGCACATAGTAATTTGGACAGTTGCCTCAGATAAGTGGGGCGCCCTCCTGTTTTGTGCTCACCATCCAATTCCTTCCTCCCGCCTTCCCAGACCGTGCCTTTGAGCCAGTGGGTACTCGTCCCCGACTGGACTCCATGAGCTCCGTGGAAGAGGACGACTATGACACGCTGACTGACATCGAGTCAGACAAGAATGTCATTCGCACCAAGGTCTGACATGCACGGGCCGGCCTCGTGCAGGGTTTTCTTAGGACGGGGTATCCTGTGTTCAGAGGCCGGTGTCCTATGTTCTGTGGTCTGTTGGGGAGCAGAGGAAGAGCTCAGCTGGGGGAGCGTGGACCCCAGGTGACATCGACCCCCCAGCTAATCCCCAGCTGGGTGGCAGCAGCCCTGCAGCAGTGGGATGGCCTAGGTGTCGGCCCACCGGGGTTCTGGGGTGGCAGATAAATAAGAGTTCCCCCTTATCCCCTCTTCTCCCCCCAGCAATATCTTTATGTGGCTGACCTGGCTCGGAAGGACAAGCGTGTTCTGCGAAAGAAGTACCAGATCTACTTCTGGTGGGTGGGCCTGGCGGGTGGGGGCCCCTGTCACGGTGGGTGGGGAACCTTCAGGTCCTGCCCACCTCACTGCTGCTTCCCTGCCCCTCAGGAACATCGCCACCATTGCTGTCTTCTATGCCCTTCCTGTGGTGCAGCTGGTGATCACCTACCAGACGGTGAGAGCCACAGTCTGGGACTCAGCCCCAACGCACGAAGCCAGGCTTCTGCAGTGAGCACAGGTCGTAGGTCCCAGCCCTGCTGTGTCAGCTGAGACCTTAGGCAAATCACTTGACCTCTCTGAGCAGTTTGAAAGCGCTGTGGTAGGAATTGTGAATCAAAAGTCATGGGACTTTGTAAGTGTTGGTTTCCCTTCTCTTTTCTCTGTACTGTGGGGCAAGAACTCGTCAGTCATGCTTCAGGGCTTCCAGCCACACCTAAGGAGGCTGAGGCAGTAATTGTGCCTCTGTTTTCAGAAGTAGATGCCCAGGGCACATGCATACAAGCTAGCCATGGTGGCATATGCATTCTAGCCACTGGGGCCCAGACTGTGGCGTGGGCTATGAGCTAAGCCGGGCACGTTAGCAGCCCCGCTCCCTCTGCAGGTGGTGAACGTCACAGGGAATCAGGACATCTGCTACTACAACTTCCTCTGCGCCCACCCGCTGGGCAACCTCAGGTGGGCATTGTGCTGGGAGCCAGGCACCAGGGCAGCAATGGGCGGGCTTTGTGAATGCCCTCCCAGGCCAGAGAACAGGTCTGAGACCAACGCAGTGCACCTGGAATTGCCCCTGTAGCGCCTTCAACAACATCCTCAGCAACCTGGGCTACATCCTCCTGGGGCTGCTCTTCCTGCTCATCATCCTGCAGCGGGAGATCAACCACAACCGCGCCCTGCTGCGCAATGACCTCTATGCCATGGTGAGCGAGCACCTGCCCACCTGCCAAGGCCTCAGCTCCAGCACGCACTCTGGAGCCCTGGCTCTGGTCCATCCTTTTTGGCAGGCTTGGCCTTGCCCAGACTAGCTCTGCCTCCCCCAAGCTAGCTCTGTCTCCTCAGCCCTGCCCTGGCCTGGCCTACCCTGCCCAGCACAGCCCTGCCCAAGTCTTCCCTGCTCTGGTCCCCTTGCCCTGTCTTCTCTGCCCAGCCTTTCACATACGCCTTGTTGACTGGACCCACCCCTTTTGTGTTACTCCTCAAAGGATGCCCTCTTCGGGTCCCTTCCCTTCCCGCCTCACCCTCCCTTCCTTGCCTCCCCCCAGGAATGTGGGATTCCCAAACACTTCGGTCTGTTCTATGCCATGGGCACGGCACTGATGATGGAGGGGCTGCTTAGTGCTTGCTACCACGTCTGCCCCAACTATACCAATTTCCAGTTCGGTAAGTCTTTGGCTGAGCCTGACTGGCCTGAGCCCTGCACCACTCTGGATCACCAGAGGGATCTGCAAGACTCAGCTCTGTAGAGAGCTCCACGGCTGAGGCAGCCGAGACGGCACATGTGTGTCCTCACACGTGGTGAATGGGCCTCCCATGTGTAAAGGCATGCAGAAGCACAGAACCGTCAGGAGTAGCGCTCAAGGGCTCAGACTAAAGAGGCATCAGACCCTGAGTGCAATTAGTGGGGTGCAAGGGGCTAGAGCTTGCCCCCACCGCGTCACTCCACACCGTAACGACACGTGGGGCTCTCCTCCTGCATGGCTGGGGCTGGCAGTTCTCTGCTGAGGCCTGCCAGGTGTTCCATGTCCCCCACCCAGACACATCGTTTATGTACATGATCGCTGGACTCTGCATGCTGAAGCTCTACCAAAAGCGGCACCCAGACATCAACGCCAGCGCCTACAGTGCCTACGCCTGCTTGGCCATCGTCATCTTCTTCTCCGTCCTGGGCGTGGTGAGGACCCGCCTGCCCTGCTCACCCCATGGGAAAGGCACACGCACATTCCCACCTGTGGGCATGCACACCGCCTCTCCACCCCCTTCCCTAAGGGGCCTTCCTGGGCGCCCCTCACCCCTGCCTGCCCCACGGCCTCCTGACAGGTCTTCGGCAAAGGCAACACGGCATTCTGGATCGTCTTCTCCGTCATCCATATTATTGCCACCCTGCTCCTCAGCACACAGCTCTATTACATGGGCCGCTGGAAGCTGGGTGAGGGCATGCCCAGCACAGGGCGTGGAAAGGCGGGGGAGCCCCTGGAATGCAGGGTGGTGGCCTTTGGGGAGTTGGACACTGGAGACCCCTGGGTTCCATCCTTTTCCTGGGGACCCTGGAGGAATCCTCAGGTGCAGAGTTTGAGATGACCTCGGACTGCTGTGCCCTCTGAAGGCTCTGACTCTCTGCTGGCACAGGCCAGCGGCCCAGCAGGACGGTACTCTGTGCTCTTCAGCACCTTGCTCTTCTCCTTGCAGACTGGGGCATCTTCCGTCGCATCCTCCACGTGGTCTACACGGACTGCATCCGGCAGTGCAGCGGACCCCTCTATGTGGTACCCGCCCGGCTCCCCAGCCCCTTCCTCCTCCAACTGTCCTCTCCCTCCAGTGGGGACAGGGAAGCGTAGCAGGGCACCTGGGGCAGGAGTGGGGACTCGCTGACTCGGGCCTTCTGCCACTTCTCTCCCTGTCTCTCTTCTCCCTCTCAGTATCCATGTCTCTGCTTCCCTCCAGGACCGCATGGTGCTGCTGGTCATGGGCAACATTATCAACTGGTCGCTGTGAGTGTGGCCACTGGCCGGGCAGACAGCTGTGGGCGTGGCCAGCCACCGGCTGCCCTGGGGATGTGGACAACTTCTAGGTGCTGGGCATGAGGAACAGGGGCTGAGAGCGTGCCAGTCCCTGGGCTTCGCAGCCTAGCTTCATGATGAAGACTGGTGTGGGAGCCAGGGAGAGGGCTCTTCTGGGTCTGTGCTCGGTTCACCGTCCCCTCTTCCCTCGCAGGGCTGCCTACGGGCTCATCATGCGCCCCAATGATTTTGCCTCGTACCTGCTGGCCATTGGCATCTGCAACTTGCTGCTTTATTTCGCCTTCTACATTATCATGAAGGTGGGGAGGAGCCGAGCCTCTTCGCTCAGCTGCTCTGCCTGGGGGGGTGGCGGGGACGTGGTCTGCTGGCAGCCATGAGACGGGGTGAGACTTTGTCTACCCATTTTATGCCAGCGAGGTTTGAGGAGCAGGGAGGCTAGAGCTGACCGCTGAGCAAGCCCTGGGCCACTCTCAGCTCTCAGCCTGGGGTCCCCTTGCATTGTGGGGCTTAGACAAGTGGGCTGTCAAAACCCATGATGGGCTTGGGCCTCCTGAGTGACCCTCCCCACAGCACCCGGTGTGGAGGAGAGCCCCAGCCAGAACCCTTTGTTGGCACCAGGGTCCTGGGACCTGGAGGCCCAGGGAGGGTGGTGTCAGGGGAGGACACAAGTGTGGGGACCGCTTTGGGTTCTATGAGGAGAAGCTGAGTTGAAGCCGGCTTCCTGAAGGATGAGGTCTGGAGGGCCAAGAGGCCCCGGGAGGGGAGGGGAGCGGGGTCCAGGAAAGGCTGGGCAGCGGCCTTGGTTGAAGCCTGGCCCTCAGCCGTCTCCCCTCCCCCTCCTCCTCCCCCTCCCCAGCTCCGGAGCGGGGAGCGGATCAAGCTCATCCCTCTGCTCTGCATCATCTGCACCTCTGTGGTCTGGGGCTTTGCGCTCTTCTTCTTCTTCCAGGGACTCAGCACCTGGCAGGTAGGTGCTCACCTCGGCTCGCCCACTGGGAAAGCACTTTCTGTAGCCCCTCCTCATCCCCCAGTGTGGAGGTGCCCCCTGCACCCCTGCCGTTTTACTTAGGCGGCAGCTCAGTCTGGGCCGAGTGATCTTCCCAGGAGCACACGGCCGGGAGTGGCAGCCCTTTCAGCCTGCGCTCAGAGCTCAGTCCGCTGTGGTCTCTACCCCTGAGGCTCTCGTAATCTACTTTAAGACACTTCTTTGTTCTTTAATGCTGAGGATCAAACCTGGGCCTCAAGGCTGAGCGTGTGTTGTGCACTGCTGTGTTGCCAGCCCCCAGCTCGTGTCTTGCTCTTTACAATGCGATGCCTGAGATGCAGGGTGCAGGCAGGAGGAGCAGGTGAAGGCAGATTCGGAGGTCAGCACGTGTGCACATTTGGGAGCCAGGCCAAGACTACAGCTCCTTGCCGTAGGGCAGGTCTTGGTCATGTCTGTGGCCTCAGCGAGTGCAGGGAGCTATGGACACAGCAGATGACCAGTGAATGTAGGGACTGTGGACAGGCCAGGGAGGACCTGGAGCAGCACAGAGCATGACTGTGACTGTTGTCCTCCTGAGGCCAGTGTTGGGACTTGGCACCAGAACTTTGGAGAAATGGTGCCCCCGCAGGCCAGACGAGAGCAGTGTGGGGCCAAGGCAGGCAGTGAGTTCTGCGTCTCTGAGGTGAAGCATCTCCAGGGAGTGAGAGCTTTCTGTTCATGGAAAGGGGAAAGAGGCCAAGCAGGCCTGTAACCCAGCACTCGGGAAACTGAGGCAGGAAGCTTGCAAGTTTGAGTGCAATCCTGGGTTTGATCCCAGATATTAAAAAAAAAAAAAATAGGGAGTTTGCTGAAGGGAGGAGAATAAGCCTGAAAGAAAAGGGGAGCCAAGCAGCAAACCTGGGGAAACGTTGGTAACAAGAGGCCAAGAGGCCGCGGCATAGAGGCGGGGCTCGGGTCAGGGAGGGGGCAGCGGGTCAGGGAGGGGGCAGCGGGTCAGGGATGAGGTGGCGCAGGGTGCTCTGGGCTGGCAGGAGGAGCAGGTGCAGGGGCGGAGCAGGTTCAGCAGGCTGCTGTGCGCCTTCCTCCCACAGAAAACTCCTGCAGAGTCAAGGGAGCACAATCGGGACTGCATCCTCCTGGACTTCTTTGATGACCACGACATCTGGCACTTCCTGTCCTCCATCGCCATGTTCGGGTCCTTCCTGGTACACAAGCCGCACCCAGCTTGAGCGGGGAGGGAGAAGGAGAGGCAGAGGCTGCCCCTTCTGCACCTGACCCGACGTCTGCTCCTGCTCCATAGGTGTTGCTGACGCTGGACGACGACCTGGATACCGTGCAGCGGGACAAGATCTACGTCTTCTAGCAGGAGCTGGGCCCCTTGCTTTACCTCATGGGGCCCTGAGCTGCTCCTGGTCACCTGCCAGGGCACCTCTGTGGTCCTGGGGTTGCGAGCTCCAGCCCTGCTGCCCAGTACTGAATGGCACAGTGAGGTGTAAGCCAGGGCCAGGCTCTGCAGTCCTGGGGGCACTGAGCCTCCAGCTGCCCTGTGCGAGAGAGGAGGCCTGCTCTCCTGACACCCCAGGCCTTGGCCAATTGCTGCTCTCTTCTCAGTGTTGGGGCCTCTGTAGGCCCCCATCCGTCTGTCGGCTGTGTGTGTCTCTCGGAAGGAGGAAGGAGGGGAGGGAAGGTGATAGCCGCCCCATTCCATGCCTTGCTTCTACCCGTCCTGCGCCTCCTCCTCCGCCTGGGACCCGGAGTCCGTCCTTCCTATGCTTCTGCTCCAGGACCCTGGCCAGGACCTGGTTTGTGTCCTGCCACGGAGCCCCGTTCTCTCTGGGGCTGTACCTCGCTGCCATCACTGCCCGCTCTGGTCAGCCACGATGGATACAGTGTGGGATTTGGGGGGCTGGCCAACTGGTGCTAAGGCCTACAGGAGGCCCAGGACAGGCTCCACCCTCTCCGTCCTGTGCTCAGGTTGGCTCTCCAGCAGTGGCATTTAGCTCCGTTTGAGAGCCTCCGCCGACTGAGGGGCTGAATCTGGAGGTCATTTCTTCTTCACCTCGTCAGCCTCCGAGACGGATGCCAGCACCGGGATTGGAAGGAGAAACAACGCATCGGGCCGTTTCTGAGTCCTCGGTCCTGCCAAGCCCCAGATGGGGCCTTTCAGTGCCACTGACACTGCCAAGAATGTCCAGGGCAGATGAGGGTGGTGCCAAGAGCCTAGCCCATCCTGCCCCTCCGCAGCTGCAGGCGCCCCAGTGCCTATCTTAGAAAGGGGCTTAAGGAAGGGACATGCCATTTCCCTCGTGTCCCCAGCCCTGGGTCTCACCCTGAGACCCAGGGCTGGCTTGAGTCCGTCCAGCCTTCAGCCAAGGTTGTCAGGCACACACGCAGAAGCCTTGGAGTTTACATGGAGTTAGCCCCAGCTCTGGGCCCTCCGGCTGCTCTGGTCCTTGGTTCCCTTCACCCCACCCGCTCCATTCCAGATGCCAAGGATGAGGGTAATCAGGTTGGGTTTCTGCCTTGGGGTGGGAATGTGGTTTTCTCTCCCTGACATGTTTTTATCGCCCCTTTGGCTGGGACGGGAGGCTGCTCTGGGTCTTCGTTTCAGAGCTGTTTTATGTCTTTCCATGCTACGGTTGTTTCTGTTTTCTATGAATGAATGCGTTCAATAAAGACAACCAGATGCAGCCCCCCGGTTCCTTGTTTTCGCTCCTGTCCTGGGTGACGTTGAGACTGAGTAAAGGGCTGGACGCTTTCCCCATGTCTTTCCTCTGCCTCAGACAACAGCATGAACTTGGTAAAATTTTCCAGGGCTGCACCTGCAGCAAGCACTGCTGGGCAGAGGCTCAGAACCGAAAAAGCCTTTGCAATGCCATCTTTCCTCTAAGACCCCCCTGGCAAGTGGCCGCTGGTTCCTACCCACCAGGCTGAGACCGGCTTCACCTCTGTGGTGCATTCCCAGCTCACAGGCTGCAGGACCAATGTGGGGTGGCGCTCAGTGGAGGGGCCGGGATGGATAATGGGCGGCGTCAAGTGGAGAATTTTGAAACATCTGTAAGCCAGGCATGGTGGTGCATGCTTGTAATCTCCACTCTGGAAGCCTGAGTTCAAGTTCAAGCTCAATTTAGTAGCTTAGTAAGAACCTGTCTCAAAAAAAAAAATACTAGGAATGTAGCTCTGGGTGGGTGGCTTTGACTTGCTCTGAAAAGACTCAGAAATCAAAATGGGGGCCAGAGAATCTGGGAACTCAGGACACAACCAAAGGTAGGGGGTGGGTGTGGGGATCTGGGAATGGAGGTGGTTTTCTCCTCTCTGGCTTCTCTTCCTGCTGGCCCACACAGTGCCTCTGGGAGGCGCTGTAGCTCCATCGCCACAGGCTCCGAGGTTGGCAAGGCTGCCTGTGTGGGCGGAACTTTGAGCAGGCACCCGCCACCCCCATCCCGCCAAACCTGGAGGGCCTCTCCGGGGAGCCCTGCTTGGCACAGTGGTGCTGGGTGTGTGTGTCGTGTCCCCGCCACAGCCCCCAGGACTCCCACCTTCCCGAACCTCTCCTTTCTCTAGACACCTGCAGCAGGGTACACGCAGGATCTGAATGGGTCTTCTTCCTGGGGTGGTGGGGTCTAGTTTCCCAGGCAGGTAGGAAGGAGGAAGAGGGAAGCTAGCGGCGGCTTCTGAGCCACCTCCCTCGTGTCTTTAGCCCTGTCAGACCTTAGGTACCCTCTGGGTAAGGCCAGGGTTACTTCACTGCTGCCGAACCCTCACACCCCAGCCCAACTCAAGGCTTCCTAACTGAAGGCTTCCTCAACTTCAAGAGTGTGACTGTCCCTCTGGCACCTGCATGTGGGTGGAGACCCGGTTTCTGCAACTCATTCCTCAGTCTTGGGAGAATGCACCGTGAGCCTTGGTTTTCTCATCTGTAAAATGGGGACAGTGACTGCCTTCCCAGTATAGCTGTATTAATGGGAGTCTTTGCCAAGTGCCTAGCGCAGAGCATGACCTCAGTAAAGGCTAGTTCCCCTGAGAGAAGGGGACCAGTTTGTCTCCCATAAACCCCAGGAATCCCCGGCTTCCTAGCCCTGATCCCCTCTCTTTCTGGCCAGACTGTCTTGGACTCCTCCTTGGGCAGGGAGCCGAGAAGAGGGAGCAGCCTAAGTCCGGACAGCAGGGAAGGCCTTCATGGTCCTGCCCATAAAAGGCTTTTCCCGCCAGCTTGCCCCCGGCCGCTCCATCTCCAAAGCACAAGCACGCAGAGAATGTCGCAGGCACCCCCCGGCAGTCTGCTCCAACTTGGTGTCTTTCCCCAAATATGGAGCCTGTGCGCAGTCACTGGGGGGGCTGGGGGTAGGGGGACGAGCCGGGCTCCTCCTGCAGGGAGGGGGCCCGAGGGGCGAGCCAGCGGGGGAGGCTGAGATCATCCCAGCGGCAGCCCTTTAAACCCCTCACCCAGCCGGCGCCCCGAGTCCTCACGCCCGACTTGGAAGCGGAGACCACTTGCTCCTGAGGCCCTAGGAACCCGTGAGTGCCTGGGGGAGGCTGGGCTGGAGCTGCACGGTAGGAAGGGTGTGTCCCAGGCGGGGTGCTCCCCGCCGGGAAGCCCACCCTCTCAGGCAGTGAGGATGCCTCTGCTCAGGCAGTCTCCAGAGGAGGAGCCCGTGCTAGCTGGGGAGATGGGATGGGATCCGGAGTCTGCGATCTCATACCGAGTGGCCTGGGGCTCTGAAATACCCAGGGTGGCTTGACTGGTGCAAAAGAAATCTAGCGGGAATAGTTAGGGGTAGGGGAGGCTCCCCATTTCATCCACAGTTCACCCTTAGGCTGTGTTAGGTTCAAGGCACTGTCTGGTTAGGTCAGGGCTCTGCTGTCCTGTTGCCCATCCACCCCCAGGAGGATGGCCATGGAGATGAGGGGCATGAGTTCCCTGGCTTGGGAGCGCAGTGGCTGCTTCCTACGTGGGACTGCCCCGGTAGCCCTGGAGGCAGGGGGAAGGATCACAGGACTGTTTACCCAGGACCGTGCACATGCCAAGCATGGGCTCGACCACCCCGGTCACGCAGAGCTCAGTGACTGAGGGCTGGCCAGGATGGCAGACTGCAGCGCCAGGCTAGGGGGGCGGCCTTCTGCTCCAGCTCCTCCCGCAGTCTGAGAGGGGGGTCACTCCCACTGCAGGCAGGGGTGGTGCTTGGCCACTGCCCTGAGGAGCTCCGGGTGACAGCTGGCAGGCCTGGGACCCTTGGTCCTTCCCAAAGGGTCTGGGTGATCTGGCTTTGTGGCTGCTGCCTGATGGGTCCCAGTGAGGACGCCACGCTGAGGAGCGGGCCTCTGTTCCTCGTCCTCAGAGCTGCAGTGCTTGGGGTCAGTGTTCTTGCTCCGGTTGGCTGTGTTTAGATGCTGAGAACGGAGCGACCAGGCCTGGAGAGCGTCCAGTGCTGCCTGCTCTGGGCTTCTGCTTGCCGCTCTCTCCATGCCCAGCCTGTCTCCTGAGTCACCTTGAGGAGGGGCGGCCTGAGGAGGGGGCCACAGGACAGGAGGACACACACAAGGCTCCCACAGTTGTCCCCTGATGGGCTTTGCTCTCCCAGCAGCTCCAAGGTGGGCCTGGGGAGGGGCCGTCAGAGGACTCGAAGGCATTCATTTCTTGGGCCTCTTGACCAGATGGGGGAGAAAGTGGTACTGGATGGAAGCGACCTGGGCACATTTCATTGCCCTCCCTTGCTCGGACCAAAGTTCAAACCTTGTCTCTAGACTAGGATCGCCAGTGTTCTGTTCCTGCCACCATGACCCGTGCTGTTTGTCTGTCCCCTCCTGAGAAAGCTGTGCATGGGGGACATAGTCTCCTGCCCTGTGCTCCTCCTGTGCCCAGTGGGTGACATGAGGGGGGAAGGCAGATGTGAGGGGGGTGGGGCGGGGGACCGCCTGGCCCCCAAGGATGCGGAGCCTGGCTTGGATGGTGGGGCAAAGGCTGAGACGGGCTAGGTGGAGGCAGGCCAGGAAGAGTTGGCTCAAGACGCTTGGTCCCAATGGACGTGTGTTTTTGAGGCAGGGTCTTGTTAAGTTGTCCAGGCTGAGCTTGAACTCCCGCCCCAGTTTCCCAGATGGTGGGATTACGGGCATGCATTTCCACATCCAGCTCTACTTGTGGTTTTTAGCCACAGTTCCTTGCCCAGAGGTCCTTGGCTTGAAGGGGAGAGGGTGGAACACAGACAGGGTAAGGAAGAGAGGGACACCTTTGTGCTCTCAGGCATCACCGCCTGACACGGTGCCGACAGACTTCGCAGAGCTCAGAGGACCACGCCCTCAGCGGGGGCCACAGATAAGGTAACAGATTGAGAGAGGAGTGAGGGGGCCGAGGGCTGGCACTTCGATGAGGCCCTCTCGTGTTTTCTCCCCATCTTGGTCTTCAGGAACGATCTGGAAGCGGTGGAGGCTGGCCGTGGGGGCTACCTACTGTACGACTTGCCCGGCCCACGCCTGGTCGGCCCCCTGTCACTTCCAGAAGATGCATTTAGGGGAGCACTGATAAAGTCCAGGCAGTGTGCAAGGTGGTCCCCAGACACTGGCAGCTTAGAACCCCTCATCCCACTGCGCAGCTGGGGAACTGGAGCTGGGGAAGGCTGTCCGCCGACAGCAGGGTGTGGGAGTTTGGCAGCCTGCCTGGGCCCCGAGTGACGTGATAGTATTTACTCTGCTTCCCATGGGGGTGCGGGTGGGGAGAGGGCTCTGCCCTCCCAAGGGGGGATGGGGAGCATGCCCACTGCTTCCATCCTAACCCGTTACATCCCTCCCCACCTCTGACCTCTGACCTCTTTGAGGCCAGGGGCTCGGTTTGGCCTCCTTTAGTACCCCATCAAACACTGGGCAGAATCCACCCATCTGAAGGCAATGCCTGTGGCCAGGCCGGGTTCCTCTTGCCTGTGCTGTCCAGTGCCAGCCCCAGCCCTGGGGACAGCATGGCGCCCGGCCGGCTTCCCATGCTCCGGCTGCCAGATTCTTGGCTCCAGGATATTCCTGGAGGACTCTGACTTTTTGATTCCTCAAACTACTGCAGCGGCGAGGACCTGAGGGCATGGGAGCGGCTGGGGACGCAGCAGTCCCCTGCATGCTAGTTCCCTGAGGAAACGCAGCAGCTTTGCTGAGGACATTCGGCCTCTGGCGGCTTCCTAGGCAGGTGTGGGTTGGCCTGAGCCTCTTTGGCTGCAGGCAGAGAGGCTAGGTGGGCCTGGCAAAGAGCTGAATTTGTATTTCCAGCTTCTGGGCCAGAGGATAAGTAAGTTAGTCGTTTGTTCAAGAGGAGGCACAATGTGATTTCATACCTAGCTGGATGTAGACTCCTGGCACTTGATCTTGGTGAAAGAGTTGAGCTCCGGAAGACTTCTCCAGTGCCTCTGTGGTTGGCCTTGGCAACGATAAAATGCTCTAGGCCATGGCTGTCAAAATAGCCATGGGCCAAATCTAGCCTGTTTTTTTTTTTTTGAGATAGGGTCTCACTATGTAGCGCAGAGTGGACCTGAATTTAACTATGCAGCAGGTTGGCCTCAAACTCAACGTAATCCTCCTGCCTCAGCCTCTATGTCCCTGAGTTTTGGTAGGTATTACAGGCATGTGCCGCCATGCCCGGCTATTGTATATTTGTAAATGAAGCTTTTTTTTTTTTTTTTTTTTTTGGTACTGGCAATCAAATTCAGACCCTGTGCTTGCAAGGCAGGCGCCTACACCACTGAGCCAGCTAAACTTACTTGTTTACACATAGTCTGTGGCTGCTTTCACATCGCCAAAGGGGAGACCATACATACATGGCCGGCAGAGCCTATTTATTGTCTACTTTCTTTTTCTTTCTTTTTTTTTTTTTTTTTTGGTACCGGGGTTCGAATTTACAATCTGATGCTTGCCGGGCAGGCGCTTATGCCACTGAGCTAAATTCCCGGCCCTTTCTCTTTCTTTTAAATTCAGGGGGCTGGGGATTTAGCTCAGCAGCATATAGCATAAGTGCCTGCCTTGTAAGCAGGCAAGTCGTGAATTCGATCCTGATAAAAAAGGAAAAAGACAAAAAAAAAAAAAAAAAGAAAGAAAGAAATTAAATTCAGGAGTCAGGCTGGACAGGAACTTTCGATCCTCCTGCTTCAGCCTCCCATAGTGGTGCTGGGATTGCAGGTGTGTGCCAGCATCCAAACCCGCTTACTGTTTGCTCTTTACACAGAGTTTATAGACCCCTGCTCTAGATCTTCAAGCTCCGATAACCTCTTTCCTGCTGTTCAAGTTCAGAGAATCCTCCAGCCTAGACGGGAAGTGCCGTGATCCATGTCTAGGGTGGCTGGGAGCCCTGCGCAGAGCTAGGCCTGTTTGGCACAAGTGAAAGCAGAGCCGTTCCCTGCCCTTGTGACCCTCCCTCTTTCTTGCCCTGTCTTGCTCTAGCTCTGTTCCATCATGGCCAATAAGGGTCCTTCTTACGGCATGAGCCGCGAAGTGCAATCCAAAATTGAGAAGAAATACGACGAGGAGCTGGAGGAACGGCTGGTCGAGTGGATCATAATGCAGTGTGGCTCTGATGTGGGTCGCCCTGACCGCGGGCGCCTGGGCTTTCAGGTCTGGCTGAAGAATGGCGTGGTGAGTGGCACCCTCGGGAGAGGGTAGGGGTGGTGCCATCCTGTCAGGCACGGAACAGGTTCCCTGAATTGAGTGAATGCCAAACTGCGTTCTCTGCCTGGCAGATTCTGAGCAAGCTGGTGAACAGCCTGTATCCTGAGGGCTCCAAGCCAGTGAAGGTGCCCGAGAACCCTCCCTCCATGGTCTTCAAGCAGATGGAGCAGGTGGCTCAGTTCCTGAAAGCGGCTGAGGGCTATGGAGTCACCAAGACAGACATGTTCCAGACAGTTGACCTCTTCGAAGGTACACAGTACAGGATTCCAGGCCAGGGGAGGGAAACATCAAAATATCCCACAGCCAGGTGTCTGCTAGTCTGTACAGGGCAGATGACGCTGAGAGCCTGCCACACCCCTCCCAGGGACTTCCTGTAGGATCCCCTGAAGCCACCTGAGCTTCAGGGACAGTGCTTGCTGCTGCAGGTTTGGCCATTTCTTTGAGACAAGCAGGCCCTGGGCTGGAATTCTGTCTATTCAGTCCTTAAGTTCGCCCCCTGGTTGCTCTTTCTTCTCACAGGCAAAGACCTGGCAGCAGTGCAGAGGACCTTGATGGCGCTGGGCAGCTTGGCAGTGACCAAGAATGACGGGCATTACCGTGGTGATCCCAACTGGTTTATGAAGTATGCGGCCACCAGGGATTCTTGCCCTTGTGCTTGGCGCTCTCTGTGGGACGGGGTGGCTTGAGCTGGCCAGCCGGTAGGAGTGATCAGGGGATGCAGAGAGCCAGGAAGATACCAAGTGAGAGGACAGGGGCCCTTCAGGTTTTATTTCTCGCAGGACTGGGGTGGAACCAGGCTCTAGTGCGGGCTACACGGTGCCCTCACTGAGCTACGTCCCCAGCGCTGCTCATGCTTCTTGGCTCCTCTGCTGCTCTTCTGTGCTCAGCGGAAATAAGGGAATGGGATTGGCCTAGGGAGCCAGAGGGGTCACAAAGCAGGTGGAAGGGATCAGTAAGTTCTAACCAGTCTTTATCCTGGTTCCTCTTTTTCTTAGGAAAGCCCAGGAGCACAAGAGAGAATTCACGGAGAGCCAGCTACAGGAGGGAAAGCACGTCATTGGTCTTCAGATGGGCAGCAACAGAGGGGCTTCCCAGGCTGGCATGACAGGCTACGGGCGGCCTCGGCAGATCATCAGTTAGAAGGGGAGGGCCGGGCCTCCTCAGCTCCCCGGCTGCAGCCTCCTGCTTAGACGGCCCCACCCACGCCTGTGTAGTTTCTTAGCCCTGGCCAAGCTTTGAGACTGTCACTGGGCAAAGGTGACTGCACACGGGCAGCCTCCCCCAGCCTCAGCCCAACTTAGCCCAGAGCACCACTGCCCGGCTCCTCCTCCCAGCCGCACCCCACCACAGCCCTCTCCCCGTCCGGGGCTAAGCCGGGGGCAGGTGGGCTGGTACTGGGTGTGGAGCAAGCCCACTGTCCTCCTTGGAAGCAAAAGCCCATTGAAGGAGACCCAGCCCGGCCTCCCCCTCTTTTCCTGGAATATTTTTGGGGTTCAAATTCAAAAAGGAAAAAAATATATATACATTTTCTCAGGCCTGGCTGACGGAGTTTGATTTGTCCTTGTTACTTCTGCTTCCTTCGCGGGGGCAGAGGGCGTCTTGGGTTCACGTGTGTTATTGGCTGCCACCTCCCCCCAACCCCTGCCTTCATCCCCCGGGTGCCCAGAGGCTCAGGAAAGCAGGCCTGGAGAGAAGAGTGAATCTCGAGGACTCAAGGGGAGGGGAACGACCTGGCCACCCGAGTCAGCTGTGGGAGGCAGAGGGAGCGGCAGGTTGTTTGGAAGGTCTTTATTTTGGAAAAGCTGTGCAGAAAAAAGTTCAACAAAATGTTGCTGTGAAAAAAGAAAATCAAATTTTAAGCATAAAAAATTCAAATCAATCAATCAATCAATCAATCAATCAGCTCAGATGAAGGAAGGAGGCCAAGAATGGGAGGAAAAGACAGAGGTTGTCCGGCAGACATGGCCTCCGGGGGAAGGGCGTTTCCCTGAGCACTTTGCAGAGGAAGACAGGGTGGTCGCAGGGCTGAGTGGCTTCTCCTGGAACACTCACGCCTCTTACCTGCTCCTCAGTCTGGCCACAGACCTCTCTAGTGAAGCAGTGTGGACCCTGGGGAGCTGTGTCTCTCCCTGGGAGCTATGCCAGGACCACTGCGCCAATCTTTTGGAAGGGAGGCAGCGCACGTTCCAGGTTGGCACTGCCCAGGAGCGCCATGCCTGGGAAAGGCTAGTGCAGGTGCTGCTTTTAGCACAGCACAGCTGGGCTCTTCCCGGGGTCTCTGTCTCCCGAAACATTCCTTCCCAAGGCATCTCGGTGACATTCCTGTTGAGGACTCTCCTGGCCACACAGGCCCGTTCTCGACCCACATGGTAGTGACCCCTATAACCGGTGTTGCTGGCTTGCCCAAGAGAAACGGTGGTGGCAACTCTGCCAACGTGAGTGTCAGTCCCTTGGCAAGGCCTGCTCATCGGAAGCATCCAGTCGGCTGGAGGAGGACCCTGTCCTCTCTCCACACTGTCCTCTGGCAGTCTTCTACCGCTTTTGCTTACGAAGGGCCCCCCATCCTTGAGGGTAGCCAGAGAATGCCGCTGAGGCATTTCTGATTCCGATGTAAGCATCAGGATTACTTTCTCCCCAGAGCTCCCTAAACTTGGGAGGAGCTTCCCCAGCTTTGGGGAGGAACAGCCTGTCCTACTCCAAGTCGTCCAGGCCCTGAGGTCAGCAAATCTGTTCCTCTTGCCCCTGCAACAGGTCCGGAGGTCGGTGCTGATAGGGGCCATCCAGGGCAGCCTGGTTGTTCTGGGACAGAGTCCAGTCCCCTTCACAGAGCAAGTCCGGGCCAAGGAGGTCAGAGGTGGTGGGAGGGCCCCCGCTCTCTGCCTCTGCTCCGCTCAGATCCTTACTGTTGCAAAGCGGCACTGATTCTAGCTCTGTCCCTTCCTCCCTGGACTTCCGGCTCCGCTGGGGCCAGTGGCAGGGTCCGTTCCTACAACCCTGGGTGGAAGCCACAGTCCTGTGGCTCATGTACACCTCCAGCATGTAGTAAATGGTCCAGAAGACGGTGAAGCAGCCCACCAGCACCAGGGTCTGGGAAAAGCAAGCGCCCTTGTTAGGGGCCGTTCCCATGGCCGGCCTATGAGCTGAAGGAGCCCCTCTGCTTGGGAGGCTGGCGTTGCCCTCCCTCTCCCGGCCCTCCTGCCGCAGGACTGCCCTCCACACAGCCCAGTGGGCTAGGAGCAATGCTATGGGGTTTCCCCAACCCTTCCTTCCTTCCCCAGGTCACCTTGAGCGGCACCAAGGACCGACCCCCTGGACAGTCCTCTCTGCCTGTAGTTTGAGGCTTGGTCCCAGTACCTTCAGGGTGTTAGGGGTGATGGTGTAACCCTCTTCCTCAGGAATTTTCAGCCCAGGTGGGCAGGGTAGAGTGAAGCCATCGTGCAGATATTTTCCGCTCATGGCACTTTCTAACAGCCTGTGGAGAAGCAACGGGGAGAGGACGCCTTACTAACCAACCCTGGGTCCTGTGCCGTCAGCCCAGAGCTGAGGGCGGGAGCACAGCGTGTCTGCAGCGGGGGCTGGGGAGGGGACAGGCTCCCCTCCTTCACGGGCAGCCCTCCCTGAGCCATCGGGCTATACCTACCTTTGTCTTTCCCTGATGTCGGCCGGACTCCACATGGAGCCATACAAGGTCAGCTGCCAGTGCTGGAGGATGCCCAGCTGGGGCGGCTCATCACCTAGAGTGGCAAGTGGGCAGCCTGTGAGCATCCCTCTGCTGGCCATGTTGCTCAGGGCCCTCGGACGGCAGCCCCGCACAGCCAGGCCTCCCAGGGTGCGTGGGCACGGGGCAGGGAGGTTGAAAGGCTGAACTTAAGGCAGAGTTTTGCCTTTCCCTTCTGTATTTTGGGATTTCAGTGGCAATTTTTCTTAAAAGAAACATATTTGTCTACCAAATTAATGAAGGCCTGAAAACCACTAGCTGGTCTAGCAAATGCCTAGCTTGACTAGAACTTGGGGATGGGGTGCAATTTCCAGTCTGTTCACTGGAGACAATCACGCTTCAGCAATCACTGTTATTGGGACTTTCTATGGGTCACTTCAAGCCTCTGGGCCTCAGTTTTTAAAAAATGGTGAAAATCAGTCCTGCTCTTCCCTGCCTACCAGGGCTGGCTGAGGGATCACTCACTTCTTCTAGGAGCACAGACGGGGCACAAACGGTCAGTTTCAGGGGGCAATGCCCAGCTTTAGATGGGCAGTCCTCAGCACCTGCTTTCCTCATCCAGTGGCAACCCTACGTATTCCACAGGGGACCCTGAGATCCAGAGGGACAATCGGGGAAGGAAGGACCCTGGGGAAAGGGCAGGGAGGCTCACCTACATCTCTGATGACTAGACGGTATGTGCCTTTCGCTCTTTCTCCCCAGCACCGCACGGTGGAGAAGGTCCAGTCATTGAAGCCACTGGGGTCCCTGGGGAAAGAACACAGTGGACCGGATGAAAGGCGTGGGCCAGAGAGGGGCCCTGTCCTAGCAACCCCGACTCCCCCACTGCCGCAGCCCCAGAAATGAGCTACTGCCATTTGGGAAGCGGCCAGAAGGGGACCTGAGTGCTGTGCCTTGGCCCTGGGGTCTCAGGGAATGAGGGACTTGTGTCTACGTGCTGCAGGGGAGACACCAAGCTGGACAGCACGGGCTCGGAGTCCCATACATGTAGGTTTAGTCATACTTCCTCAGCACTACTAGCTCTGTGACTTGTTCGAGGTCACAAAGTCTACTCCAGAGGGTTCTTCAATGATTAGAGAGAGAGAGAGAGAGAGAGAGAGAGAGAGAAAATATATATATATATATATAGCACAGTGCCAACACATTGACATCCTTGAATAAAGAGTATGATCAATGGCTTCCAGTTGCCAAGGACAATCAGGGCAGGCGTCCTGTATGACTGTCATTATCCTCTTGAAAATCTCTATTGCAAAGACGGCTCAGGAGGCCACAGGCTGGTGTACGTACGAGTCCATGCTGCGGGGGGCGCCGATAAGGGACATCATGCCACTGGGACAGAAGAGTTTCAGTTCCAGGCTGCCGCGGCGGGGGTGACTGATGGACACTGTCACAGCCACGTGCTCCAGGGTCTTCAGCCCCGACGTCTCCAGGTCCGCCCTGCTGACTGTGGGAAGTCAGGCCGGAAAGCTGGGAAACCAGCCCACGCACACTCACGCCCCTTCACCCCAGCATACACAACACACAAGCTGGCTGAAGCCACGCGCAATGTGTCTACGTGGGTGGCTGCGAGGCGGTGCTACCTGCAAGTTTACAGGCTAGCTTAGCCTCTAGGGAGGAAGGCAACACACAGGGCCGCGAGACAGCAATTCACTCAAAAATACCGGCACCGTAAAGATAAGCTGTCATGGCACCCTCCACATGAGGCAAATGGGTATGATGCCATATACACCAAGTGACGAGGGGAGACACGCTGTGAGAGACGCTGAACAAGGAAGCGAACACAGAGACCAGTGGAGGGCATTCTGGGAGGGAGAGGACATCAGGAAGACGGTGAAATGAACAAGTCTCACACGCGGAAGACAATACAAAAACCACCGAACTGGCTAAGTCTCAAGAATGAATGAAAAAAGCCAGTCTCAAAAGCACACACAATGCAGGATTCTGTTTACAGTTATTTGCAAGGGGTTTCGACCTCCTGTGAATCTACGATTCTTTTAGAGCCACAAAAACAAACCAAACCCTAATGAAGTGGAAGATTCATTTGGGGATTAGTAAGAAATTATCCTTCTAATTTCTAATGTACCTTTTCTCCCAGAAATTCATCCTAATATGCATACAGATGAAATTCAGAGATTCAGAAAAGGGAAAAAGAGCTGGGCGTGATGGCGCAGGCCTGTAATCCCAGTAGTTGGGGAGGCTGCGGCAGGAGAATCACCATAAATCTGAGCTACACAGTGAGTTCAAGGTCAGCCTGAACTACATAGTGAGATCCTGTCTCAAAAACCAAAACCAAACAAAAACAAAAACAAAAAGAAAGGGAAAAAAGAACCTAGCATGGGAAGGGTTTTTAAAGTTTTTTATTTTAAATAAGCAATTGAGAGCTATTGTAAGTTACTGAGCAAGGATTTTAAACAAAAGTGCTGAAGGGCGGCTTCTCCAGCAGCGGGCATAGAAGCCGCAGCGGAGGAAAGAGGGACAGAGGACCTGACCACTCTAGGGCTGAGGCGGCCACTCTGTCCTGCTTGGCGCCTACCCCGCTGCCCCCTTCTCAGTGCCCCTCGCTGCCTTCACTGGGGTTCACCTCCTGTTCCTCCACAGGGACACCCATGTCCCTGAGAACCACTCCCCCAGTGTCACATGTCCCATTTTGTTTTCTCGTCCTCCCCTTTCCTCTTTCTTCTCTGAGCATTAAACCTGGGCCCTTTCACCTTGAGCTACACCGCCACCCTTTCTTTGTTTTTCTGAGACAAGGTCCCGCTACTTAGCCCAGGCTGGCCTGGAACACACAGCGATCCTCCTGCTTCAGCTTCTCCAGTGCTGGGATTACGGTGTGTGCCACTGCACGGGGCCCTGACCTTTTATTATTTATCTTGTCAAGCCTCTAAATGGTCCAGGCTGGGATCGACCTTGTGATTTTCCAGTCTCGGCCTTCCAGGGGAACTGGGGTTATACTATCTTTCTTTTTTTCTTATGCTGATAAAGTTTTGGGAGAAAGCAAAAATAAAATTATGTGTTTAGCCTGCTAGCTATAACTAGCCACCTTCTCTTAGCACACAATTACTCAGTCTGCAGTCCACGAATCCTGGAGGGATTCTCTGCAGGGTCACCAGTGGGGTCTTTGTCAAGCCCAGTCACACTGCTCTGTCCGGGTCTTGCTGCTGTCTCTCACTGACCCATCCCTGAGCCCACAGCATCACACTCTTGTATGCGGTATCTCTAAAGAGGTGGCCTTGGGAAGCTCTTCTCTCTCTGCTGCCCAGGCCTCAAGATAAAGCGCAAGCACCTCCCAAGGTGGAGCGGCTCCGGCCACACCCAGGCACAGGCCTCCCCCCACCCCAGTGTGCTCCCTGCTCGGGCCATCTGGTATGACGTGGGCTCCCTGAAGACACTCTTGACCTCAGGAAGGGGCACTCCTACTGTCTGGACGTCCCTTTCCTCCCTTCCCCTCCTGGCTGGCTTACATGAGGAAACTGAGGTCAGTGAGCAGTCTCTTGAGGAACCGTCCCGTCTTCCTGATGGCAGATGCCTCTCCCGTGCTCACCCAGCGCCCGCTCCACCTCCCTCTCCGCTCACCCTCATCCTGCACCAGCCGACTCCACGGTCTTCCCTCCAGGCCGTGAGCCCTCCTGGTGCTGGAGTCACGCTGTATCACTGAATCCCGGAGCTTCACACACTGCCTGGGCAAAGCAGGTCTCACATGTTTGTAGAATAAATGACTATGCAAAGGAGATAGTGTAAATACTAAACCTCAAGGGAAAGGCTGGAAGACCTGGGCAGGGACGATGGAGACAGGGTGGCTGAAACTCCAGGTTCAAGTTTGAGGGGTGGTGGAGGCTGGGCACAGTAATGGCAAAGACCGAAGTGGAAGAAACTAGGGAAGCAAGTTGGCATTTGAGAGGTGATAACGAAGCCCAGAGTTTTCTACATGTTAATTGCACTATATTGGTAGAGTATCAATAACACATCGTGCCAGGCATGGTGGCACACGCTTGTAATCCCAGCACTAAGGAGGTTGAAGCAATCACCTTGAGTTCAAGGCCAGCCTCAATTACAAACAGAGGCTGTGACAGCCTCTGTCACAAACAAAGCACACATGGAGATTTAGGAATGAAAGGATGAAGGGACATGTTCACAGCTTGGTGGAAGGCAGCACCGGCCTGGCAGAGAGAGGGGTGTACAGGAAGGTAACTGACACGCTATGAACAGAAGAGAATCCCAAAGGAACCCAGTCCAAGTGGAAGGCTCCCTGCATTCCTGTTAGGCACAGCGGCATGCTGCCACCTTTTTAAAATTTATTTATTGGTGTGGGTGGGGACTTGGGAGACCATGCATGTGAGTATACTAGAGTTATTTCTAGAACTTCTAGTAAATTAAATGTGTTCATGTATTAAAGAAGGTAATGTTTACAACAGTGTGTGGCACATAAAAAACATCCAGGTCACAGCTGATGTTCCTCACTGTAATAATTTAGTCTTTGGGGTCTTTCTAGTCCAGAAGACACCAGGGCTTCTGTCTGCCCATATTCCAGAGGGAACTGTGACAATCTCTGTCCTTCTTACTGGTGAGGGGTACAGTGAGATTTAGATCTGGGAATCATGTGTGGAGAGGTGGCACCAAGTCAGAATCGAAGAGGGAGGACAAATATCTGTTTTTTTATTTATTTTTTTTGAGCCAGGGTCTTTTTGCTCTGTTGTCCAGGCTGGTCCTGAACTCACTATGTAGTTGAGGCTGGCCTAGAACTTGAGGGGATCCTCTGGTCTCAGCCTCCCAAGTGCTGGGATTATAGGCATGTGCCACGAGGCCCCGCCTGAGTACAAATCATCTTTTTTTTGTCTTTTTCTTTTTTATCGGTACTGGGGATCGAACTCACGACCACACACTTGCAAAGCAAGGCACTTATGCCGCTGAGCTAAATCCCCAGCTCCCAAGGACAGATGATCTTGGATCGGAGCCTTAGAAGACAATTGGGACTCTGGAGCAATAGATGAGCAAGTGAAGGAAAAGGGGACCTCAGGCAGGGAGGCTAGAAGGCAGCTAGGCAGTAAGGGGGTCACCGAACCAGAGGCGAGCGCGGCAGTAAAGGCCTAGTTAATAGTGTGAGAACAGCAAGAAGGGTAAGGAGCACGGACTGAGTCAGCCCTGGATGGGCCAGGGATGAGGCCCCGAGGTAATAAAGCCAGGCTCTCACGGCCGAGAAAGCGTGCAAAAACGCAGCGGCTTCAGTTAATTCTTCTGAAAGGCTCAGGGAGGCGGCACATTGGCTGGAAGGAAGAAGGGGATGCAGAGGGAGACAGCGGGCGGAAGGGCCAGCACAGGACTTGCTGCGGGGTGTTAGCCGAGCACTCCGGGCACAAACCAGGAGCCAGGGCAGGTGCGGGTGGGTGCTCGGGAACCTGCTAATGCATGGACAAGTCACACAGAAGACCCCCTCCTCCACCCACTTCTAGCTCCCACCCTGAAGAGATCTGAGACCCCGGGTCTGCTCTGAAGGAGCTGGGTCCCCGATACCCTCTCCCTCCTAACTTTCTGTTGCTGGGGCTCTGCCTGCCTGCTCAGCTGCACTGTTCAGTCAGCGATACCCTCTCCCTCCTAACTTTCTGTTGCTGGGGCTCTGCCTGCCTGCTCAGCTGCACTGTTCAGTCAGCCACGTGTGATTATTTATTTATTTTATCTTTTTTGATACCGGGATCAAACTCACAACCTTGTGCTTGCCAGGCAGGCGCTTAGGCCACTGAGCTAAATCCCTGGCCCACACGTGATTTTTAAATTTAAATGAACCATAGTTAAATACAGTTAACATTCTGTTCCTCAGCCCCACGGGCCCTGTTTTAAGTGTCCCGTAGGTGCTCGCTCGGCAGCACGTACATTAAGTGTTCCATAGAGTTATACAGGGCCATGGATCTAAACATTCCCATCATGGCTTAAAGTTCTGGGCGACATCTCTGCTCTGGAGTCTCAGAGTACGTCAGCTGCTCTTCCGCTGCAGGGATGTTCAGCTCCCTTTACCTTAGGGAAAGTTTCCTTTCTGGTCCCAGACCAGGAATCACGCAGATCCTTCTGGAAACACATGACGGCCTGGCTGTAGGGGTGAGGTGTCTCGTGCCTCTGGGGCCGAGTTGCTCAGCTCTACACCACCTGGGCTTCCCCCGCTCAGCTTGCAGGGTGACAGCAGTCCTTCAGAGAAGCCTGCCCACTGCTGGGTGGGGGACTCCTCTAGCCAGCCCGGACCTCTCCTCCTCCACCCTCCACCACCTTCCGCTTCCCTCCCCCAGGACCATCTGTCCCCCTTTCTCTTGCTTCCCAGTAATAAATACATAGTTGCCAGAGGCTTCACCACTAGGAAAGTGTGTCAGACATCCTGGGGCGACACCCCTTGGTTAGAGGAAGCAAAAGATGCCAAGACTGCAGAGGCCCAATCCTTCTAGCTAACTCCTTCTTGTGGCAGACGTGAGGGTACACAGTCCCGAGTGGGAACACAGGTGAGAAGGCCCCCAGGGCCAGGCCTGCAGGGCAAGCCCGGGCCCCCGACAGAGCGGCCTTCCCCGCAGTTTCCAGCTGCTGCGCCCTGGCTGGGCATCCTCTCCAAGACCGCATTCCTTTTACGGAAACGCAGTGACCGGGTGAGGGCTCCTTCCACAAACAGGGAAGCTGGCAGGAGCTGGACCTGCTTCTCGGAGGGTCACTGAGCTCCTCCAGCCAAAACTAGACCCGAGGAGCCCGCCCCGCTCCCGCCCGAGGTCCCTCCTCGGCCATTCTTCCTCCTGCCAGGGTCCCCCCGGTGTGAACACTTCTGAGGAGGACAGCAAAGGTGAGGACACAGTTCTGGTTTGGGTACAGAGTATGACATGCCTCACCCCACAGGAAGCAGTGAATAACTCTGCTTGCCAAATTCCTCAAAGGAAAAAAACGGTCCCCGAGGGGCCAGGGGTGGGGAAACTGGGAAATGTGCAGACCGAGGGGCTGGGAGAGCGCCCGGGGCAAGAATGCGTGCTTAGCGTGTGCAAAGCCCGGGTCCATCACCAGCACCGACATCACACAGGAACGGCACAGCATTGGGCAGAGGCCCTCAAAGAAACAGCCTAATCCGCTTCCCTCAATGGCTTCCACCTCTGTGCTCAACACAACCGCCTCACTCAGACCGAGCTTCCTCGGCACGAGCCTCCACTCTCCCCGCAGCCTGGCACCACGGCGGCGGGTAAGGGTCAGGTAACTCCGGTCTGGGACCCTCACTTAGCCCCTGTCCCCCACACCCCCATAGGCCTCAAAGGAAAGAAGTCTCAGCTCCTCTGCTTCACTTAAGGCTGGCCAGACAGCGGCCTGGCAGGGCCTCAGCGTGGAGGGCACAGGAACCCTTCCAGCCCCACCCCGCCTAGCTGCCTTCCCAGCTGGTTGCTCAGCAGCTCCTGCGCTCCTAGGAGTTCAGGAGAAAGGTCTTGTTTAAGCAGCCACGGGGCCAGCCAACTCAGAAGCAGCAACATGTCCTAAAATGGTCAAAGAAAACTCCACAGGTTTGGCTGGGGCTCAGCTCCTGAAGGAAGCGGGGAGATGGGCAGGGAGGACGAGCCTAACTGCCCCTCCGTCTGCCCAGGCCCGAGACCTAAGATGAACCCCTGGGCGCTGACCACTTACCGTTCCACAGGACCTCCAGCGAGCGGGGGGACCGCGGAATGGCCTTGTTCTCTTTCAGCACAGGGCTGAAGTAGGAAGCTAAGTAAGGGACAGATGTCCAGACCTGCTGAAGGAAAGGGGGTGCTGGTGGCAAATCAGCAACCGAGGTGATCACACTCACATTACCATGCACATGTGTGCACGAGCATGTGCGCACGCGCACACACACACACACACACACACACACACACACACGGACACACACACTCATCCATGGGATCTGCGAGGCACAGCTCTTCTCTCCAATCACCTTCTGTCACTCCTAGGCTCCTGCTGACAGCCAGGACTGCTCCTCAAGGCTCCAAGCCAAGGAGGTGGGGAAATGGCCGTGTTCAAGGTGAAAGAGCCCCCAGAGGCCCCAGCTACACTCGGTCCCATTTACCCACTAACAGTGTGGGGACAGTGCTTTCCATGTGCAACATGGCTACCCGCCGCCATGAGGGCAAGGCAGTGGGGGGAAAGGTGCAGGGAAGGTTCACGATGTGCTAGGATGCGCCAGGCACTGTTTCTGGCATTGGATGCCCGCTTGGTCTCCCAGCCCAGGCTGCCCCACCCTGCCCTGCCAACACCCGGTCACCTTGGCGGCGTTGACCAGTCTCCAAGCATTGAGCAGGCCGAAGCCGTGCTGGTGGCTGTGGCTGAAGCCCACTTCATTGGTGAGCCAATCAGCGTGGCGGTCTTCATACTGAAAGGACAGGGGCCTCTTTAGTGCCATGCATGGCCAGTGTCAGGACAGCAGCCCGACTGTTGTTTCCCTGCTTCCCCGGGGTCAATTCGGTCCAGATGCTCCCAGAGGAATGCATTCCCCCAGGAATGCTGGGACAAAGGTCAGGCTCCAGGGCCTCACTACCCAGAGCTCCCTTCCAGAGAGTCAGGAGGCACCAGCTGCAGAGCAAAGCAGCCCACCCAGGCCCCCCGGCAGGGGGAACGGCATCAGTGGAACAGGCACAAGTTCCTCACGAGTGCCACTCTGGAAGGGACTTGGTGCCTGACATTGGGACTTTTAGAATCTGAAGCCTTCTGCCCAAACTCTGGGCTAGGCTGGGCCTGGCCTCCTGTCCCCCTGCCAGGATCTTACCTGGGTGGCTGTGAAGACAATGATGTGCTGGACATCGCGCCATGTGAGACAGGGCCGTACCTGCAGCATGAGGGCTATCATGCCAGCTGCCAGAGGAGCAGCCGCAGAGGTCCCTGTGTGGCCCTCTGTGCAGCCAGTGCCCTTCTGAAGGTCCCAGTCAGTGGTCACCTGGGAAGCGGAGCAGTGAGGGCGTTAGAGATGACCTCGGCTCTCAGATCAGCCTCTCGGGTGGGCCTGGCTACATCAGAGCTGTGTGTTTGACTACAGGGGCCTACAGGAAGGCCAGACCAGGGTCTCAGTCCTTCTGGCCTCTGAAGAACCTCTGCGGAATCAAGATGGGAGGCTTCCGAGGGCAAGGCTGCAGGGGGCCGTGGGTGCTGCCGGGGCTCCTGATTCTTGTTCCCATCCCCCCATTTTCCAGCCCGTGCCTCCCCAACCCCCTCAGGGGAAGTGGCCAGGGGAGCTGCTGGGCTTCAGCTGAAGTGGGGACAACAGGATCACACTAGTCAAGGAACTGCCACTTGGCAGCTCAGTGACACAGCTGGGGCTACATGTGTGTGCACGCGGCTGGCTCGTGGTCAGCTCAGCATCTACACAGCCTGCCTGATCATACACAAGAGGAGCTGCCCGTCTCTTCCGGCTGGTGCCGCAGGTGGGTTTTCGGGAGCCCCCTTTCCCACCCATGGTTCTGAGGTAAGATGCGAGCGGCACAGGTGGCATCTGCCTGGTGTCAAGTTCTTTTCAGGTCCCCTCAATGCCAGTCTCAGAGGGTTCAGCTGAGGAGGGCTCTGCCTCAAAATGCTTCTTTATGTGGCACTTGGACCCTTAGCCTGTGGTGCTGGTGCAAGACTGGAGACGTCCCCTCTTCCAGTGTCTCTTCTGGGTCAGATGCCAGGGTGCCAGCTTCCCAGGAGCTGCCTCTTCTCCATTGTACTCACAGCTTCCCTCCCAGCTGTTACAGCAGCTTCCAAGAGACGCAGTTGGCACCCAGACACCGCGTACGCCCAATAAGAAAAGGAAAAACACTCTTCGAGTTGTAGGCTTGGCGAGTGCGGAAGCCGAAGCCGGGTCTGTGCCAGGGAGCAGATTGATTTTTCCTGTTAAGGAAACGGGCTCGAGGTGATAGTCCAGGGTGCAGCTGTGAACTTGCCTGTGGAGGCAGGCGCTGCGTGCAGCCCTACAAGAGTCCAGGAAAGCTTTCAGGTGGCCACGCTGTGTCAAGCGAACGTTCCTGTCTCTGCCCGAGGAGTCAGCTCCATCCAAGTGCCGGGGCATCAGACAGAAACTGGCACCAGAGGTTCCCAAAGCAACGCTGTTCCAAAGATGGGAACTTGGCTATATAAAGTGTCTTCACTTCTGGCCACACTATAGTTCAGATGGAAGGCTGGGGAGAGGGCCAGAGGCAGAGCTGAGTCTGGAAGGGAAAAGCCAGGCACTGCACAGCAACAGTGACCACTTCTGTTCTAGAGTCTTCTGAGGGGCCTGGCTTGAGCAGGCATGAGACGGGACCCCGGAGCTCTGGCGGGGGTGAAGACAGAGTGTGCTCCCACTCTTCCTCCTGCCCAAGCCTGACCCGGGGCGGGGTGCCCTACGGACACAGGCCGGGGGCTGCCCAGCACAGCCTTGCTGGCTGCTCACTCCAGTCCACTTGCTTTTCTCTTCTCACTGAGGCAGGCGGGGCGGGCGGGAGGGAGGAGGAGTGGGGTCACCTGGCACAGAGCCTTGGAACATTGTGTTGACCAGAAGTCATTTACTGGCATAACCAAATTTTAGTTCTGGAGAATGAACTTGACCCTGTAGGAAGACAAGGCAGCCTAGATCCCAGCAGCCCCAGAGCGCCCTCCCTGCCGGCCACTGGAGCAATCTCACACCTGCTGGTTATAGCAGAGCTCTTGCCTGGAGCCTCTGTCTCCACTTACTCTGGTATGGCCATGGGGACACACGGGGGCTCTAAGACTAAGGCCCAGAGACCCGGCTTAAATCTACTAGGGTGCAGCCCAGCACCGGCAGCTTCCAGGGTCCAGCGGCTCCTGCTACAGTCTCCCTGCCACGGCTCCAGTGATAGCTCTGCCTTCTGCCAGGACTCAGTCCTCTGGTTCCTCCTCCCGCCCACCCCATAAAGACAACCACTGGCCTTCCTCCTGAGGACCAGCACGGCAGAGCTCGCAGTATTTATACAGCGGCTGAATAACAGCGCCACGATGCTCTATTTTTAAGCCCATAGCAAAAAGCCAAAGCCCAAATTCTACCCTGGGAAGGCATTTCAAAGGAGTTGTTTAATCAATAAGATACTTGTCTCCATAACAATATGTACTATTTGTTTCAAGTTAAAAATTTTGAGATCAAAGCCGCTTGCAGGGATTTATTCAGAGCCCTCAGCGGTCTCCCTGCAGAGGCCTTAAGAGGCTCAGCTCTTTGAGGGCAGCGGAGCCAAGAAACACACTGTGACGGCTGAGAGGTCACACGGGACAGGCAGGGGTGCGGGGCTAGAGACACTCACGATGCTCCGGAGCATCTTGTCCCCACCACTGAAGGTGACGGCCAGCATGGAGGCGCACTCTTCGGCATAGAAAGGCATCCGTCCCTCCTCATCCACAGCCCCTGGGACCCGGGAGGAAAGGAGAGACCTGAAGTGACAAGTGGATCCTGCAGCAGGGCCTAATGCTACTGGAGTTGCCTCTGAGTTATCCCCCAGGGCAGTCTTGAGCTTACAAAGTGATCTGAACTGGTCAGGCCTGGTGGCATTCTTGTAATCCCAACTACTAGGGAGGCTGAGGCAGGAGGATTGCAAATTCAAGGCCAGCCTGGCCAGTTTAGCAAGCCCTTGTCTCAAAGGAAGGAGCACAAGCAGGTTTTCAATAGCTTCCAGGACAAAACTGAGTATCTGCCACCTCTACCCTTAGTCATTCATTTGTTTTCTTAATATTTACTAAACATCTGCCACATGGGAAATGCCACACCCTGATAGCAGCCAGGCAGGAAGTTGGGTAAGTAAAGAATCACAGCCGGGCGTGGTGGCGCGTGCCTGTAGTCCCAGCTACTCGGAAGGCTGAGGTGGGAGGATCGCTTGAGTCCAGGAGTTCTGGGCTGCAGTGCGCTATGCTGATCGGGTGTCCGCACTAAGTTCGGCATCAATATGGTGACCTCCCGGGAGCGGGGGACCACCAGGTTGCCTAAGGAGGGGTGAACTGGCCCAGGTCGGAAACGGAGCAGGTCAAAACTCCCGTGCTGATCAGTAGTGGGATCGCGCCTGTGAATAGCCACTGCACTCCAGCCTGGGCAATATAGTGAGACCCTGTCTCTTAAAAAAAAAACAAAAAACAAAAAAACAAACAAAAAAAAAACGAATCACAGCTGGCATGACAGCACCTGTGGCTGGGAGCACAGGTGGGGGGCACTTGACGTAGGCTGGTGAGGAATCTGGGAGGCTCCAGGCAGAAGGCCAGCAGCCCAGGGAATGAGGGACTCAGCAGAGCCCTGGTTAGTCATGGTGGGCATGGAGGTAGGGAATGGTCCACAGTGTTCCCAGAGACGCCGAGATCCACGGGGCTGGGGATTTGTTTAGCCCCATGGCATAAGCGCCTGCCTGGCAAGTGTGAGGTTGTGAGTCTGATCCCTGGTACCTGCCCCCCCCTAAAAAGAAGCCCTGAGCTCTGAGTTCCAGCCCAAGCCCAAGGCGACACCCTTGGCCACATGTTCAGACAGACGCCCTGAAGCCAAGGCACTTGGAGACAGTCACACCCGCGCAGAACTCCCGGGTCACTACCTATGGTGACGGTGTAGATGGAGTTGGCGTAGCCATCATAGTTGCAGTTGTCATTGTGCTGACCCCCATTACCACTGGCCACCACGAAGATGCTCCCAAAGCCCTGGCGGCCGGCCATCACCCCATGTTGCAAGGCGGCCTGTAGGGCAAATGTGTCAGGGCATCAGTTAAAGGGCTCACCAAAAGACCCCTGCTTACCACACTGGTCACTCCTGCCTCCCTTCCCAGAAACAAAAAGGAAACAAATTCCAAATGGCACTGGGCATGAGGAGAAGAGATTCACAGATGGACACAAAATGGGGAGGGCAGCTGGGGGTGGTGGTGCACGACTGTGACCCCAGCACTCAGGAGGCTGAGGCAGGAGGACTGCTGTGAGTTCAAGGCCAGCGTGGGCTACATGGATAGATACTGTCTCAAAAAAAAAAAGAGGGCTCTTAGGGTCGAACAAGGGTGGATGGATGGACTCTGCTCATCGGACTCCGCTCATCAGAGGACAGAATGGGGCCAGGAACGGGCCAAGAACAAAGTCAAAGGGAAGCAATGGGAGGACATCAGTCCATTTCTCTAAGACCCTGCGCCCACACCCTCCACCCCCGGCTAGGTGTGCACTTCCTGAGAGAGGCTGCTGTGGGTGGGGAGAGGGCAAAGAGGTGGACGTGTAGGGTTTCCTAGGGTTCAGTACCTTTCCAAGCTGGTGAGGGCCGTCCACTGTCTTCCCATCATCGTCCGGGCCCCAGCTGTTGGGAGACAGCACAGGGAAGACCTCGGGCCAGGCTGGCCCTGCCCACCGGGCCTCCTGGTCTCAGCTGGCTGTGTCTGTGGCTCCACTTCAGGACTCCCATGTTTTGTTTTGTTTTGCCTTTGGGGGCTGAGGCAGGTGTCCAGCACACTTCCACGCCAAGCAAGCACTCTACCACTGAGCCACATTCCCAGCACTAGGGTTCTGCCAGGAGAAGACCTAGGCCGCAGGGGCCCAGCCCTCCTCCAGAGCGGAAACAGAACACTGAACTAAGATTCTTCTCTTCCCTGGAAATGTCCCCAAGGTAGGACTTACTTATTCTAACTCTAACGACTTCCTCATTCTGACCTTTAGTCTGATCCTGGGCTCCAACCCTTGGGTCTCACTGATGGAGACAGTGTGCAGCTGTAGAGCACAACAGGGTCACCTCTCGGGGACCTAGGCATCACCGGGAGGCTGGATGGCAAGGTGCCCATGAAGGGACGCTCTATCTGACCTAGGAATCCTGTTCTTTGACAGGAAATACTTTGTGGATGACATCAAGGATTTGAGGGACTGGCTAGGGGCAGGAACAATAGCAGGGGGCTCCCCGGCTCCCCACCCCCAGGTCCTCTGTATCCCGCCCCCCACAGCCTTAGCCTGAGGCTGTGGGTGCTGTTTTGCAGGGCAGTAGGAGTGGCACTGGGATTCAGTTTAGAGAAGAAAGCTTTGTGAGTTGAGAAACATCAGGGTGAGAGGCCGGGGCACTCATTGTGTGGCAACCTGATCACTGGGGTGACAGAAGCTTAAAACTGAGCACCCATGATTGGGGAGCTGGAGAAATGAGGGCCCCCGTAGACCTGCCCGAGCAGCCCGGAGGATTCACCCCAGGCGCTGCCCCCTCACCTGCGGCTCTGCTCACCTGCAGCTGTAAATGTCATTGATCTGGTAGTGCTTGTTGAACGCCACGGCCTCCATGCTGTCTGTGAGGGGCCCGTCCAGCACCCGGATGCCTAGGAATTGAGGACACCGATCCTTACTCTACTGGTCCCCCCAAACAGGTAATGTGGCTGCCCCCCCGAAGTGGGGAACAGGGAGCTATTTGGGGGAAATTTACTTTCCCTTTTCATTCTTTGGTACTTTTTGAATTGTACCACATGCATGTTACCTGTCTAAAAAACTTTTCACTGTCACGCTGGAGCTTGGATTGTAAGGATCCTGAAGTTTTTGTGGGAAAAATAAGGTTGGAATGTAGGTAACTGATTTCCTTTTTCTCTCTACCCCAGTCACATAAAACAACTTGCACCATACTTGAAGGATGTTGGGTAGATTCATTCATTACCAGCAGCACTCCCAGACAGGCCCAAGTTTGCGCTCTCAAGTGGGGGTGTTATGTTTCGGTGACCACAAAAGGACAACTGGGGCTTTCCAAAGGGGCTGGGAGCAGGACGTGGTTGCCTATGCCTATAATCCCAGCACTGAGGTGATGCTGAGGCATGAGGGTCATAATTTGAGTTCTGCCTGGGCTACTCAGAAAACTGTCTCAAAATAAAAAAATAAAAAGGGCTGGGGATGTAGCTCAGTGAAGCAGCAGCCCAGGACTGACAAGAAGAAATGGGGTGACGGTCTTGAACCTTGAAGGTTTCTGGCCCCCTCTGCAATCTCATCTGCAGAGGACTTCTGCCCTCTGCTGGAGAATGGGAGGAGTGCAGCCAGCCCGCTGGCTCTGCTGGTTCTCAGGCATTTTTAGGAATTACCCAGAAGGGTTCCCGTTCATTCCTCTTGCTGTTTGCCCTGGTGGATAAAGAGTGAAGTGGAAGCATGGAAGCACTTCCAGAGGGGTTCTAGGCCGTCCAGCTCTGTTGAACGGCTGGAGAGCAGATGTGACTGCAGAGGGTGCTGAAGAGGTGAGCCTGCCGGTGAGAGCAGCCTCCACAGACCTGCGGAGCAGGGGAGGAAGGGCTGCTGGCAGCCACTCTGGAAACTACAACATAGTCAGAAGGAAGGAGCTGTTTTCACAACTTGGGTCACGGATCAGAAGAAGGGAAGAGGAGGCTGGCGGGGAGGGGCTTCGGGTAGTGCCTGTGCTGCTAGAAACAGGTTTGGAACATCACTGCACTGAACGCCCAACCAGCTAACGGTCCTGTGTTCACCCTTCACTGTAGGCTATGTGTGCTGGTGGGAGGAAGCAGCTTCACAATGGGATGGGGCCTGGGAACGCCCGCTGTGCCCTTGGCAGACCGGGCAAGGTCGCCCACCTGCTATGCGGCTCCCGTAGGCCACGCCGACCGCACAGAAGCTGTTGTTGGGCGCCGCAGCGATCTCGCCCGCACACCGCGTGCCGTGGTGGTTGCCGCTCTCCACATCCGGGTGGGGCATGGGGTCTGGATCATTAGAGTTGAGGTCATAGCTACCTTCAGGGCTCTGAAATATTGAGGGACAACAGATGGTCACTCACTGGGTAGACTGGTAGGAAGGAGCAGGTCCTCCGGGTCTGGATGCCCCGGCAGGGAGGGAAGCAAGCCCATCCCTTTGCAAACCATGCTGCCTACAGACAGGAGCAGCGAATGCTGGGGTGGAGCTGGGATGCACCACGGGGTTCTCAGCAAACATCTCTCTTGTGTGCTACACTAAGCGGCCCACGGCAGAATGCTGGGGCAGCCTAGGATAAGAGATTTTGAGTCATCTAAAGATCATGTTTTATTTATTTAAATTTTTCATACTGAGGATCAAGCTTATGACTTGCACTTGCCAGGCAAGTGCTTGTGCCACTGAGCTAAATCCTCGGCAGGATCCCATTTTAGAAAGAAGGTACCCAGAAGGGGAGATGGAAGCTGCCTACAGGGGCCACTCCTTACTCTGCAGACAGGGAGCAACAACAGGAAGCAGGAAGCAGGCTGGGGTTGCTCTCCTTTGGGGCTGGAGTGGCAGCTGTGTTTTAACTGCCAGGATGGCAAACCGGCTGGGAGAGGAGAAGAGAAAGCACCCCACCCCACCCCACCTCCCAGGCTATTTGGTTTGGCTCAGTGCCTTCTAGGTGGGGGAACAAGACAGAAGTGTGGTGCAGAGGGAGCTAAGACGTGGGGTGGGGGTGGGGTGGCTCCGGGTCACTCACATAGTTGGGCGCGATGTCCTGGATGGTGTGCTCCACGCCATCGTCTACCACTACCACCGTCACCCCACGCCCGGTCACGTTGCGCTCCCACACACCTGTCACGTTGATGTCCCTGCCGGGGCTCCGCCGGTTGTTCTGCAAGAGACAGAGGGCACACAGAGGTGAAGCAGAGGCCCATGCTAATGAGTGGCAGAGCCGGGGTGAGTGCTGGGCGGCCGGGCTGCAGCCCACGTGCCCGAAGCACTGCAGGACAGTGGCTCACCAGAAAGAGGACAGGGAAAGCAGAGGCTGAAGACAAACTACAACCCAGGTCCCAGAGGGCCCCTTCAGGTGAAGGATGGGGCGGAGGGAGAGGGATCTGGTGAGCAGCAAGTCGAGAGCTGGCCCAGAACCTCCCACCCATCGGAGCAGCAAAGTGCAGGGCTGGACTCACCAGGTGCCACTGCTGTGGGTACTTGGGGTCATTGAAGTGGATGCTGCGCTTGGCCCGTTTCAGCAGCCTCTGCTCTGAGTGCCAGCGGACGGCCTTGTGCCCGGCTAGCACGGCCTCGGCCTGCTGCCGGATGACCTGGACCTCCAGAGCCTGGCTGGGCCCAGTGGGGTGCACAAAGAGGTAGTGGCCCTGGAGCTCTCCAATGCGCCCGGCATTCACCAGCCCTGCTGCCCGGGCCACGGCTTCTGCTTGCTGCTCCAGATGCTCTTCCTCTTGATCACCTCCCGGGCTGTCCAGGTGCACAGCCCAGCTGAGCCCCACTGTGCCGTGGGCATCAGGACCTGCTGCCCCTGCCAGGCCCATGACCCAGGGAGCCAATAAGAAGAACCCAGCCAATTCCAGCCAGAGGCAGGTGGGCAGGCCCAAGAGGGCATCCAAGTGTGGCACTTTCTGCCTCCCCTTCGGCATCAGAGCAGCGGGCTGCAGGCAAAGAGAAAGGACAGAAAAGAGATAAAAGAGCTGATGACTGGAAGGAAGCTGAGGGGGCAACTTTGAGCCCCCCCCCCAAACCCTCAATCTGCTCCTCTTAGTCTTCAGCATTTGATCCTCTCTTCTTGGTCACATTTACTCTTTTTTTTTTTTTTATCGGTACCAGGGATTGAACTCACGACCGCCTGCTTGCAATCAGGTGCTTATGCTGCTGAGCTAAATCCCCAGCCCCGGTCACATTTACTCTTGACCAACAAGGTCAGCAGCAGGTGGAGTGTGAACCAGTACTGACCACTGAATGCCTTCCCGTGTACTATGGCCCAATCCCTAGTCCTCCAGAAAGCAAGCCACGTCCAGCTGCTTTCCCCGCTGTCGCTGCTCACCAGGCTCGGAGTACACGAAGTGCCCACGAGTGACTGGCAGTAACGCGACTTTCTCTGCCAGACGATCCCACCCTCTTGTTTTAAAGGAACATAAACCTTATCCAGCTGACACTGCAGTCTGGTTGTCTTCAATGGGCCCCATGCCCACCTGGGCTCTCTGTGACGTTGAGCTCCTGGGCTGGCTAACCACGTCACATTCATTTTGTGCAACTGAAGCAAAGGCGTCACCTTCGCTGAGTGGTGTTGATTCTGAGCACAGGCTGCAGACCTGTGGGTCCCAAGAACAGAAGGAATAATGTCCTGCCAAACCCAGGGTAACAAGCAGAGACTAGCCATGACCCCCAGGACCAGTGACCACAGGAACTGTCCACTGATGAAGCATAATTTCTAGATATCTAAAATAAGCCATACCTCCAGGCCTGGTGGCACACGCCTGTAATTCTAGTACTTGGGAGGCTGACGAAGGATTGCCACAAGTTTGAGGCCATTTCTGGGCCACGCAGTGAGTTCAAGGCCAGCCAGAACTACATAGCAAGACTCTGTCTGTCTCTGTCTCTCTCTCTGTCTCTCTCTCTCTCTCACACACACACACACACACACACACACACACACACACACACTCACACAAAAGAAAGCCATGGGAAACATGTGGCACTGTAAGGCCAAATTGGTGCAAAACCCAAAAAACATATTTCTTGTCCTATTACGCCATCTTTTCTCATTTGTTCTTCTAGTGGCCCAGCAGAGGACTTAACTGCTACTAAAATCTCTCCTGAGAAAGTAGGCAATTCAGTTCCTAGAAGTATAGGCAGCCAGGAGAGTGAAAGAGGAAAAAGCCAGAGAGGGACGGAGGGACAGGGACAAAGGGAGGGACAGAGAGAGAGAGAGAGAGAGAGAGAGAGAGAGAGAGAGAGAGAGCGCGAGAGAGCACGAGACAGTGAGTGAGCAAAACTGAGCAGGCACACAGGGGAAGAGGCAATAGGAGAGAAGAGAAGTCTGGAAACAGCCTTAAAGAGCTGCCCCTGTAACTAGCTTGGCAGGCGGTTTGGGACTGAGGGCTCAGGCTCCAACTGCCCATAGAACCTGGAAGTGGTCCTCAGAGCCCAAATGGACAAAAAAAGGTCAAATCTGAGCTGGTGGGCAGGTGAGGGGACAGTGACAGGTGAATGTGAGTGGCTGGGCTCCTTTAAAACCTCTGCTGTCTGCTGAGCCCACCCTACGGGCAGCTGAATACTCAGACACACACTGCAATGAAAACAACTCGAAGCATCCTACAACAACGACTTCACTGATGCTTTCTTAGAAGGAGAAGTAATCTATGCCGCCCTCCATTCCTTCCAGATTGCCAGCCCCTCATCTGTTTCTCTCAGATTTTTGAGCACATTCTTGCAATTTCTCCCTGCTTACCAGTAGTCTCCCGTCCCTAAATATTTAGGCGTCTGCAAGGAGGGCTCCTTCAGTTTCAGTAGAGCCCACCACAGATTTCCAGAAGGAGAAATCTGAGCTCTTCTTTTCACCCAGGATCAGCATACCACTGTTTGTTTGTTTTGTTTGTTGAGACAGGGTCTTGCTATGTAGTTCAGGCTGGTCTTGAGCTCACTATGTAACCTAGACAGGCGATCCTCCTGCCTCAGTCTCTCAGGTGCTTGGATTACAGGCGTGTGGCACCATGCCTGGCCACAGCAGCATTTTTATCAACCAGGCTTCTTGGCAAGGAACTTTAAACACCTTCCGGAAGCAGAGCTCCAGCACCCTCAAGGGCTAGACCTATCTTTACAGCTTTAAATGGTCAAAGAAGAAGGGTAATTCAAAGTCCAAGATTCTGCTCCCAAGCGACTGTCCTAGCAGCCTCCACAACCTGCTCCAGGTCACAGACCGGAGCTACTTTCATTGATCACCCCACCCCTGGTCTCGACGGCTCAGTGCCCCGCGCCCCCCTTCTCATCAGGACCTATACAGCGCTGGAATCCCTGACTCTGGGGTCCCGTCCCGCTGGGATGCCTCATGTCAGGACCAGAGAAGCCCTCTGTGCATAGAAGCCCTCATCTTCAGGCACCGGTTCCTCCCACATTTGGGCCACCCGGACTTTCAATGTCCAGCCCCCACCTAGTTCCCAACTCACCGGCCCAGCCGCAGCAGCTGCCGCCGCCTCCCTGCGGAAACTCGCGGCTTCCCGGGAGCCGGAGCCAGTGACAGCCGCATCACTTCCGCCCGGCGCCGCAGCCAATCAGCGGCCGCCCTCGGCCCAGACTGTCTGCCGAGCAACCCGCGCCCGGGGCAGCACCCACAGGCGGCCTCTGCCGACGAGGCCCGAGGGCTGCTGGGCTCAGCTCGGGGCTTCAGTGCCCCGAGTCCACTGGGCATCTTCGACAGCGTCCCTCCCTGAGGGTTCTTCTCCTTCATGGCGTCCTCCGAAAAGGGCACCTCCGTCCCGACCTCTAAACGTGCCTCGTTGCTCTTTTCCCCCTGACCGCCATGGGCCCGACTCCCCCTGAGACCCCCCCCAGAAGGACCCCTGCCTCCATCAGGTCGCCTTTCTTGTCACGGTCAGACGGCCCTCCTCGTCGCACCCGGGGAGAGGCCACTGGGACTCGGGTCCTCCGCAGTCGCCTGCCCCACGCAGAGCCGGTCCCCGCCGCCAGAGGGCGCTGTCTCGGGCGGTCCGGAGAGCCGCGGCCTCTCTTGCCGCGGACCGAGCCTCGGCCCCTCCGCCCGTGCCGCCGGAAGTGGGAGGTGTCGCGCGCGGGCCGGCGCTCGACCCCTCCCCCGTGGCTCGGCCGCCCCCTCCCCCCGCTCCGCCCGCTCAGGTGCGTCCGGTCCCTCCCCCCTTCCTCCGGGGGCGCGGCGCGGGAGGTGTGTGCGGGCCGCGCGCGAGGAGGGGGCTTGCGGGCCACGGGCCGGGGCCGGGGGTCGTGGTGGGGGCGTGGAAGGGGCTGCGAGGATCGGCGCAGGGGGCCTGGCCTAGAAGCCGGCCGGGGGCTGGCGGCGGGGTGCGGGGCCGGGGGGGGGAGGGGAGGTGACTGCGGCCGGCGCGAGCGGCCAGCGTAGCTGTCGGCGGCGAGGGCGGCCGTGACCACCCGGCGCCGCTTCCCCCATTGTCCGCGTCCCCTCCGGCTGGCGTTCTACCGGAGGACTCGTAGCTGCCGGCGTCGCCGCCGCAGTGGTGGCTGCTGCCGGGTTGCGGGATTCCCGAGGGCACCTTCGGCTCGCCAGCCAGATGTTCCGGTCCGCAACGACCCCCGCCCCCACCCCGCAGCCCTTCACCCCAGCTGCGGAGTTGTGTGTGTGACCCTTGTTCTGCGCTTTCGTTTCCCCGTCACCGAGGACGGCGACTCTGGACTGCGTTGGAGGCAGAATTTTTGCACTTGAGGAGCAGTAATGATGATAGGGGTCCGTTTTTGCCTAGGAGCGTTGTATATATAGTGAGGGAAACTGAGGCAAGGGGCTGTGACTGTAGTGTTGACGCAGTCCGGTCTCCCTATCTGCTCTTTGCATCCCTTGGAGTTCAGGGATACCCCGTGATGCTGTCAGAATAAAATCAATAAGGTAAACAGCCTACGTTCGTTTCCCACCTCCAGATTTTTCTTTCTTGTAACCATAAAAGGCCATGAGTTTATCCTGCAGCAAAAATTATGACCTTTTGATCTCAAAAGAAACCAAAAAGCAGTGTCTTCGTAGGTTTCTTCACTTAAATTACTATGTTTTTCAGCTTATGTGAGTAACGAAGTCTTACTTTTTTTGTATGACAAAGGTGACTTAGAAGAGTTACGTTGCCCAGGCTGTGGGTATCATTTCCATCTGTGGGGAAGGCACATGACGAGGAAAAGATACTGTTGGGGTTGCCCAATATTGTATTGCTTGCTCTCGCCACCACCTCCATAAAAGTAATTAAGCTAATGGAGACTACTTTGAATATAACACCATACAATGACTAAGAAACATATCATGTTTATATTAGGCCAAAAAATACATGTTTTGTAAATAGTAGTAGACAAGGTAGGTATATGAAGCATTTGGAATATTCTCACAGATTATGATCTGTTTTAAGTAACTATTTTTGCCAAGAGAGAAAACAGAAGCTTTGCACAGACTTCTAGATGTTTATATAAATATAGTGACTTTTGAAGATTGGTACCCACTGGGACCTATTGTATGCAGTCGTTCTTTTAATCCCATATTGCCGAATACTTTTTTTTTTTTCTTTCCTAGAGCCCAAGTTTTTCTTTTTGTCTCTTAGAACAGTGCTGTTGTGTGGATATTTTGAGGGGGAAAGATACATTTGATTTAAATTTTTGGAACTTGCTGACCGTGTTTTGTTTCTGAATATACAGAGCGCGATGGCTGCGTCTGAGGTAGCTGGTGTTGTGGCCAATCCTCCCAGTCCTCCGGAATCCTCTTCTAGTTTATGTGCTTCCAAATCCGATGAAAGCCTCCCAGATGGTCTAAGGTAATGAGTAGATTCTTTAGGGGGAGAGTTATTTGGGTTACAGCCTCTCGTAACTGGGATTTCCTCTTTTTGGTGATGTGGCATGGCAGTAGATTAAGCTTTCTAAAAGGTGGGGGTCCAACAGGTGTTCTGAAGGTTTGTTGAATAAATAGGTTAGATTGGGGTTAAATCATCAAAATTGCAAGTAGTTCTCGCTCAGTCCTGCGTAGATTGTATTTTCATGATCATGTTTATGTATTATACTCATTTATATGATACTTTGTTATATAGATAGTAAGGATATATACAGAAATATATCTGTGCATACAGAAAAATGCAGACATGTACGTGAATCTATCTAGGTCGCCTTGTCAATATGGCCTTCCATTTAGAGGTACATTTTGCCTCGCATCCAAACTCTCAAGGGCAGGAAATATAATTAGCCAACTTGATATCTTACAGTGTCCAATACATTGTTTTGTGCAGTGTTGACCTGAATTGACTGGGACCTATATACTATATATATACTATATAGTAGAGATTACTAATAAATGTATTAATATAGTTACTCTCCTATCAGTACCAGGAGGTAAGTGCTAATATTATTCCCATTTACAGATGGGGAAACTGAGATACGAAGAGGTTTGTAACTTGCCCAGGGTTATCAAGCTATGTTGGAGTCAGGGTTGTCTGAACCCAGTGTACTTAATCAATACTTGTTTGAATAAAGAGGTATTTGTTAGTGAGTGGGTAGTGGGAGAAGATAGAAATAAACATAATCATAAACTTGGATTTTTATGCTTTTGTTAATTTTATAATAAACCATATACTGCTAGTTATAATAATTGCACTGAGGGTTATGGAGTATTTACTGTATACTGGGCACTCTTCTGAAACTCAGTAATCCTCAGTATAAGCTTGTGGTAATATCATTTCTATTTTGTAGTAAAATAATTTGACAGACTCAAACAACAGCAAATGGTAGAGTTAGAATCCAAAGCCAGGCGCTGTATCTAGGTATCCAAGTTTATAATTAAGATACCTTCCCGTGTTCCACTCACCTCCCAACAAAAAAGGAATCAAGAGTATTTGTAAAAAATCTCCATATCATAGGCACTCTTTCAGTTGGTGTGTTTTTTTTTTTGTTGTTGTTGTTTGTTTGTTTGTTTTGGTACCGGGATCGAACTCAGGACTGTGCGCTTGTAAGGCAGGCGCTTATGCCACTGAGCTAAATCCCCAGCCCCCTTTTTAGTTGTTTTAATGTGAAAAAAATGCTATTTTTGTTTTTAAAACAAATACTGTTGAGGAAAGAAAAACACATTGCTTTAAAGCTTCAGTCAGTGGTAGTTTAGGATGTTTAAGGGGTCATTTGACAGAATCAAAAGAAGAGGCAAAAAAAATTTTTTTTTTTTTATTGAACTCATGACCTTGTGCTTGCTAGGCAGATGCTTATACCGCTGAGCTAAATCTCCAGCCCTTTTTTTTTTTTTTTTTTGAGGCAGGGTCTCACTGTGTAGTTCAGGCTGGCCTTAAGTTCACTATACACCCCAGGCTGGCCTCCAACTTGTGGAGATTCTCCTACCTCAGCCTCTCTGAGTGCTGGGATTACTTGCCTTGCCAAGAGAAGTAAATAAATTTAAAATTTAATTCCTAGGTAGAAGACTGATAGCTGTGAATGTTGCATGCCACTGTAAATTTGTTTTAAAGATCTCTTGAGCCAAAGATGGGGGTGTGCACACCTGTAATTTCGGCACGGTGAAACACGGGCAGGAGAGCCACAAGTTCCATTCCAGCCCGGGCAACTTAGCAAGACCCTGTCTCAAAATAAGAAATAAAAGAGGCCAGGAGGATAGCTCATTATTAAGGTCTTAGGTTTAATCTCCAGTATTGGAAACAGCACCAATAACAGGAAGCCCCGGAAACAGCACACTGGCTGCAAGGCTGGATCTAGTTCAGGGGAAGGAGTGTGCTTACTGTGTATAAAGACTTGGATTTGAGCTCCGGCGCTGGAGGGTGGAGGTGGGGAGCAAGGCATTATGTGTCTGTGACCGAGTAGCTATACTAATGTTTAAATACAGGTACACTTGCTGGCTGTGGTAAACTGGCTACTGGACATTGTAGTTTAGGTTTCAAAATTATTCTTTAGACAACTTGAAGTGATGCCATATTCTGCAAAACTATTAAAAGGACCGAAGTAGTTCTGGGCAAACCTCTGTTTAATAATTTACTTTGGGAAATAAAACCACTGGGTTAATATTTCTCTTATGTATAATACAATTAGTCTGTGTAACTAAATATTCTAACAAGCATTAGGCTATTTTATCCACGTCCCCAAACTTACTCACATCGGCCCCCAGACTGTCTTGTGTCCTGAGTCATTTATGTTCGGGCACGGACTGTGGATTGTCTCCACCCAGGCTGTGTGAAGTAGAGACTCAGTTCTGTTTCACTCTGGTAACTGGGAGGGTTTGTGTAGTCCAGGTGTGGTTTCCTGGGTGACATTGGGAGTACTAATTGTGTTCAGGCCTGGGTGCGAGAGAAACCTTTTCTTTTGGAGTTGATGGTGGTGCTCAGAATTGTACCCAGGGCCTCACACGGGCTAGGGGAGTGCTTTCCTGCCGAGTGGCGTCCCCAGCCCAGACGTTTTTTATCTTTTGTTTCTGATAGCCCCACAGACCCTGCAGAGAAGCAGAAGAACTCGCCTCCGTCGAGTGTAAGTAGCCAAACGATAACCAAGGAGAATAACAGAAATGTGCATTTGGAACACCCAGAGCAGAATCCTGGTTCATCAGCGGGTGACACTTCAGCAGCGCACCAGGAGGTTTTAGGAGAAAACTTGATAGCCACAGCCCTTTGTCTTTCTGGCAGTGGGTCTCAGTCTGATTTGAAGGACTTGGCCAGCACAGCAGGAGAGGAGGGGGACACAAGCCTCCAGGAGAGCCTCCATCCAGTCACTCGGTCTCTTAAGGCAGGGTGCCATACCCAGCAGCTTGCCTCCGGGAATTGCTCTGAAGAGAAATCCCCACAAGCCTCCATCCCAAAGGAAGGTAGCAGGGACACAGGCTTGGATTTCCGACCTGTGGTGCCTCCAGCAAATGGGGTTGAAGGAGTCAGAGTGGATCAGGATGATGATCAGGATAGCTCTTCCCTGAAGCTTTCTCAGAACATTGCTGTACAGGTCAAGTATCAAGTTTCTACTACTAAAATGGAATTTGGGGGGTTTTCTTAAGGGTAGGAGACATTTCTTCATATTTGGTGGAGAACTACACTGTCTCAGTTTTGCTGTGTTCATACAATGGCATGCAATTACTTCATTCTGGTGTTCCATAAAGGAGAAAGCCAGTAGCCAGTATCTAATCTTATGGCAAATAGGGACTTTGATGACCTACCTGTAATTTCTTCGTTGAGTAATTGATGAATGCAGGTCGTTAGCATTCATATTTCCCGTCTTTGTCCTTACAGGAGGAATCCTTCTTAATTCTCTGACCTACATCTTAAGAAGTACAGTGTATCCTGCCTTCTAGTGCCTGGTGTGCTCTGTCGTAGGAGGGAGTATGGGCACAATAGGTCGTAGAGGGCAGAGTTCTCATCCAGGACTTGAGGCTTTCTCTCAGACAGATCCTGGGTCTTGTTCAGGCTACTTTGTGGGGTAAATGACTAATGTGATGTAGATATTGGTGTCTGTTTGTCACAACTACATTGCCTCTCTTGCTACTAAGCTGATAAGGAAGAAACAAAAAGTTTGCTCTCATTTAGTTGTGGTAGATCTGCAGGTAACAGCACTAGAATAATTGTGCATCTTTTAAAATGACTATAAACAGTTCTGAATGTACTTGTTTCTTCCTTTATAGACTGACTTTAAGACAGCTGATTCAGAGGTGAACACAGATCAAGACATTGAAAAGAATCTGGTAAGTATGTAATGTGTCGTTGTTATGCAAAACCATTAACACAACTACTAGAAGTGGGTCGTCTCAGCGGGAAACCAAGTTGCAAGTGTCTTCTGGCAGGTGATCAGCTAACTTCTATTGATCACACAGACAAGAATCTTGCTGTCTCCTACAGCCAACTATTACATCTTTTTTAACAATAGCTTTCTTCTTTGTTGTGTGTCACATGTTATTCTGATCTAAGGAAGGAAACTGTAAGTTCTTGGTCTAGTTCTCTTGAGCTTTCTGGAGTAAATCTGACTCCTCTTTGACTTACTAGCCCTGCATATATTTGAAGGTTTTTTTTTTGTTTTTTTTTTCATTTTGCTTTGTTTTTGTTTCTGTTTTTGGTATTGGGCTTTGAGTCTAAGGCCTTTGCACTGACCTACATTCCTATCCTTTTTTATTTTTTAAATTTTATTTTATTGAGCCGGGCATGGTGGCTCATGCCTGTAATCCCAGCACTTGGGAGGTCGAGGCAGGAGGATTGTTGTGAGTTTGAGACCAGCCTGGGCTACAAAGTGAGCTCAAGGCCAGCCTGAATTGCATTGTGAGACCTAGTCTCAAAAAGACAAAAAAAAATTTTTTATTTTATTTTATTTACTTATTTATTTATTTTGTCTTTTTGAGACAGGGTCTTGCTGTGCAGTTCAGGCTGGCCTTGAGCTCACTTTGTAGCCCAGGCTGGTCTCGAAGTCAAGGATCCTCCTGCCTCAGCCTCCCGAGTGCTGGGATTATAGATGTGAGCCACTATGTCCGACTTTTTAAATTTTATTTTAAAGAGAATAGAACCAAACAAAATGAAACAATAAAATCAATCAAAACAAAACAATGAGAATGGTATAAGACTTCAAAACAGGATAATAGAAAATCGACAGTGGGGGCTGGAGGTTTAGCTCAGAGGCATAAGCACCTGCCTTGCAAGCAGGCAGTCATGAGTTCGATCCCCGGTACTGATAAAAAGGAAAAACAAAACAAAACAAAACAAAAAAAAACAAAAAAAAAAAAATCAACAATGGCTACCCTAATGTCTCATGTTATCTTCAAAATAGCTGCCCATACCTTCAGACATAGTAAAATCAAAACAGAACAGAATAAAAGCAATCGAAAAACCATGAAAGTGATACATGACTTCAAAACAAGATAATAGGAAATCAACAGTGGCTACCGTAATGTATCTTGTATCTTCAAAATAGCTGCCCATACCATCAAACATAATAGAATTTAAGAAAACAAAACAAAACAAAAAAAGAATTTAAGAAAACAAAACAGAATAAAACCAAGCCAAACAGAAGAATGAGAATGATAGGAGACTTCACAACAAGGTGGTAGGAAATGAACCCTTTCCTTTGTAGGCCTTTCCTCCCTTTCACCCTCACCATGTCGATTGTACATTTCTTCACTTTTTTTTCCTCTGTAATTTTAAAGGGAATAAAACAGCAATAGAGCGAATCCAAACAGTGATAGCGGAGTAGGAAATCTGTAATAGTGACCACAGTGCATATTGTTGTCCTCTAAACAGGTGCTCGGCTTTAGACTTGCAAAGTTAGTCAAACCATACAGCGCCTCCAGTCAGCTGTGGCTGATGGGGTGGGGGTGGGGGAGGTCCTCGCTCCTAATGGCTCACAGGTGGGGCTTATGGCTCTCCCTGATCTACACCCCATCCTTTTTTAAAAATTTTATTTTACTCTCCTAAATTGCTCAGCGTGGGTTTGAGGTTCTGACTCTCTGCTTCAGCCTCCCAGAATGCCTGGATTACAGGGTGCGCCATTCTATCCAGCTGTATAACTTTTTTTTCTTTTTTTTGGTTTTTTTGAGATAGGGTCTCATTATGCAGTTCGGGCAGGCCTTGAGCCCACTTTGTAGTCCAGACTGGTCTCAATCTCACGGTGATCCTCCTGCTTCAGCCTCCTAAGTGCTGGGATTACAGGCATGAGCCACCATGCCGTTTATATAGCTTTTTTAATGCCTCTTTTTAACCCCTCCTGTCTAAACCTATCCAGGTAGAACATTCCCACAGGGTTTACCATTCTTCTTTTTTCATGACATTTTTTCCAGTCTTCCATTCTCTCATCTTGATTACTTTTGCCTAGGCATGTTTCATGTCATTGGTATTTCTTTTAAAAATGGATCCCGGCGGGATGGTGGTGCATGCCTGTAATTCCAGCAATCAAGATTACAGGAGGATAGCCGGGCGTGGTGGCTCACGCCTGTAATCCCAACTCTTTGGGAGGCTGAGGCAGGAGGATTGTTTTGAGTTTGAGACCAGCCTGGGCTGCAAGTGAGTTCAAGGCCAGCCTGAACTGCATAGAAACCCTGTCTCAAAAAGAAAAAAAAAAGATTACAGGAGGATGAGGCAGGAGGATCACTGAGTTTGAGACCAGCCTGAACTATGTAGCAAGACCTGTCTAAAAAAAAAAAATCCGGGGGCTGGGAATTTAGCTCAGCGACATAAGCACCTGCCTTGCAAGCAGGCAGTCGTGAGTTCGATCCCTGGTACCGATAAAAAGGAAAAAGAAAAAAAAAAAAATATCCCATGAACGAAATGAAATAGTCCAGGTATAGTTCACAGTAGGGGTCTTTTAGTCTGTTGTTTAGACATTATTTCTTTTTATACTATTGTCAGACTCCATCAGGGCATTTTTCTTTTGTATATTTTACTGACACCATTTCTATTTTATCCTTTATAGTTGCTGTTAAATCCTTGGTAGAGAATTTTATCTTTGTTAAAATAGTCCCTTTGCTCTATTTCTGGAATTTTGTGGCTAAAATTTCTACCTTTTAACCATATGGACATTTAAATGTATATATAACTGTATGTACTTGTCTTTTTTTTTTTTTTTGTCTTTTTGAGACAGGGTCTGGCTGTGCAGTTCAGGCTGGCCTTGAGCTCACTTTGTAGCCCAGGCTGGTCTCAAACTCGCAGCGATCCTCCTGCCTCAGCCTCCCGAGTGCTGGGATTACAGGCATGCACCACCACGCCTGGCTGTACTTGTCTGTTTTTGAGGTGGGATCTCACCATGTTGCCCAGGCTGGTCTTGACTCCTGGGCTTAAGTGATCCTTCTGCTTCAGCTTCCTGAGAAGCTAGGTAAATGAATTTTTTGTGGGGTGGAGGGAGTGGTTGAGACAGGGCCTGGCTATAGCTCAGGCTGGCTTTAAACTCACTGTGCGGCCCAAACTGGCCTTGAATTTGTGACAGTCCTCTTGTCTTAGCCTCCAGAGCGCTAGGATTATAGGCATATAGCATCATATGTGGTTTTGTGGTTTTTTTGTCTTTTTTTATTAGTACATGATTGCAATACATAATGCTACATTTACTGTGGGGGGTTGGTACATGAACATTGTTAAACACATTTTATTTTTATTTTTCAATATTAATTTTTGGCCTTTTTGAAGCAGGGCCTTGCTCTGCAGGTCAGGCTGGCCTTGAGCTCACAGCAGTGCTCCTGCCTCAGTCTTCCTGGTGCTGGGATTAAGGGGTGCACCATCGCACCCAGCCCCTTAGTTCTTTTTATGTTCTGCTCCCCGCCATGTGTGGTCCTTTTCCCATTTGCTAAGGATGTATCTCTATTTCCTATTGTCTGTCTTTTATTTTGCCCTTTAATTTACTGTACTTCGGCCTTTCATATAAGAAATCGTGTGAAATTTAAGCTTCCGTGTTTTATGTCTCTTAACATTATGGTCTCAAGTTGCATCCAATCTTCCTACAAATGGCAGCAATTTGTCCTTTCTTACAGCAGAGTAGTCGTCCATTGTGTGTAAGTGCCACATTTAAAAAATCTGTTCATCTGTTGATGGGCATAGAGGCCACATCCAAGATTTGGCTATCATGAGATATGCCACTGTCAACATGGGTATGCATGCATCCCTGTAATATTTAATGCTTTTCAGAATATACCTAAAAGGGAAACAGTTCAAATGGAATTTTTTTTTAGTATTCGGAGGAATTTCTATACTGATTTCCATAATGATTGTACTAGTGTAGAAGGGTTCCTTTTCCCCCACAGCCTCACCAGCATTTGTTATCGATTCCTTAAGGAGGGTCATTGTTGGCTGGACTTACCAATAATCCCGTCACTCAAGAGGCTGAGGCAGGAGGATCACCATGAGCTCAGGGCTAGCCTGGGCTACATAATGAGTACAGGATCAGCCTGAAGTATGTAAGACCCTTTCTTTAAAAAGCCAAAAACAATAATAGCAAAGAAACATTTTACCAAGAGTAATACAGAATTTCAGTGTTGTGTTTGATTTGCACTTTTCTAACAGACCCGCAGATGTTGGATCTTTTATTTATAGGGGGAGGCTTCTAATTTTTTTGGATTCTTTGTGTATTCTGGGTACCAGTCCTCTGCTTTTTCCCCGATTTAGTACATGGTCGGAGACTTGGGTCTAGATTCAGTTTTTGCACCATGTATGTTGCCAGTGTTTTCAGCACCATTAGCTAAAGAGTCTCTCATTCCTCTATTTTGTGATTTTGGCCCCCTTGTCAAAGACCAGAGAGCTGAATGTGCTTGGACTTGTCTCTCAATCCTGCATTCTGCTCCACTGATTCACACATCTGGTTTTGTGCTAGTACTGTGCTGTTTACCACTGTAGCTTTGTAGTATAACTGGAAATCTGGGGTTGTGGTACCACCTGTTTTTCTCTTGTTGTCAGGATTCCTTTTGCTGTTCTGGGTATCTTCCATTATGAATTTTCGGATTGTTTTCTCTAGTTCTGTGAGGAATGCTGTTGATATTTTGATTGGGATTGCCTATCGGTCTCAGTTTTGGAAGTTGTGCCATTTTGACAGTATTGGTTCTGCCTATCCAGGAATAGGGGCTATCTTTCATTTTCTGGAAGCTTGTTTTTGGGCTCCTGTTGCATGCAATGTTGCTTTGTATCTTTTGACTTTTAGTCTGTGCATTTCTTCTTGGATTAAATCCATTTCTTTTTTTTGTACTGGGGATCGAACTCAAGACCTTGTGCTTGCCAGGCAGGTGCTTAGGCCATTGAGTTAAATCTCTGGCCTAAATTCATTTCTTGTACACAGCATACAATGAGTTTTGTTTTTGTTCTAATCCGTGTCTTTTAGTGGGGAGTTGAGGCCATTCACATTGAGAGCTATTAGTAGAAGGTATAGACTTGGTCCTCCCTTACGCCTGTTGCTGGTTCCTTTCTTTCTGCTTTTGCTCATGCTTCTAGTGTTCATGCCATTGCGCGTTTTGGCATTGTTGGCTTCATTGTCTTTTTGTAGGATATTCTTTTTTTTGTACTGGGAATTGAACTCATGACCTTGAGCTTGCCAGGCAGACACTTAAGCCGCTGAGCTAAATCCCCAGCTAGTAGGATAGTCTTGAGAATTTTTTGGGAGAGTGCTAGTTTGGTGGTTCCCTAAGGTGCTCTTTGTCAGGCACTGACTTTATTTCTCTACCAATTTGAAAGATAGTTTTGAAGGATTTGTCAATCTGGGTTGGAAGCTGTTTTCTTTTAGGGCTTGAAATACTTTTTACTCCATGTTCTAGCCTTTAAGGTTTGTGTTGAGAAGTCTGCAGTGATTCTAATAGGTTTACTTTGTAAGTGATACGTCGCTTTTCTCTAAAGCTTTTAAGATTCTGTCCTTCAGGTTTTGACTGTGATGCGTAGTGAAGAAGTTCTTTTCTGATCTTAGCTAATTGGATCACTTACTATGTGTTACATTCTTTCCCCACATTTGGAAAGTTTTCCACTGTTATTTCAGTATACAGATTTGTTATGTCATTTGTGCTGTCTTCTGATTCTTCACTAATTGCAGTTAATGTTAGATTAGGCTTTTGTCTCATAGCAGCAGGTTAGATCTGTGTTTTTGTGTTCCTTTGTTTCTAATGTGTCTGTGTATAATTGGTCACAAATATCAGCCCTGTCTTCCAGTTCTTGCATCTGTCCCCCTATTGGTCACTTCTCTTGTCCAAATTTCCAACAGAATTTTTTATCTTCTGGATTTTGATTTGGTACCTTTTTGTTACTTCTAAATCTTTGCTAAACTGGTCATTCATGTTTTGTATCATTTTGTTTAGCTCAGTTAGCTTTTTATTAGTATCTTCTGTAAGCTCACTGATTGTTTTTTATTAAGTCTACTGTTTGTTTAGTCATACCATCTTTGAGCTTGTCAAACTCCTTACTGATCTTACTGCTTTTTTTAGGATTTCATATAATTTAGTAATTTGGTCTTTTGTTTTGATACCCTATGGGTTAGCTTTGGAGGACTTTGGGAGTTTTTGGAGGCATTTCTTGCCTAGTTTTTCAAGTTTCTTCTGGGATATATGTGTGTGGGTTTGTGAGTGCTCAGATTTGTAGGTCAGTTACAGTAAAAAGGCTTCATTGGTAGTGTGGAAATGTTTTAGTTAGCATCTGCTTTTCAGTATGTGGTTAACAATAGACGTATACTTCTGTCCAAAAATCTGACCACTTCCATTAATTTGGGAGGGGAAGGTACAGTATAATTGGGCTAATACCCAGTTCTCCAGAAATGAACTACAGTATTGTTGATGACACAAAAATTAACTAGAAAAAAAAAGAACTAACCAGAAAGAAAAAAGAAAGACTAACTAGATATTGACATACATGTACAAACCAATTAATAACAACTATCTCAACCTGCCAGTAGCAAAAAAATTAATAATAGTACAATAAAGGCAAACTGAATATTGGCCTACTGTAAGAATCAGTATTCAATTCCCAGTTGGCCCACCCCTCAAAAAGAATCACTAAACTGGGCATGGTGCCACATGCCTATAATCCCAGCCCTCGTCGAGGCTGAAGTAGGAGGTTCACTTTGAGTTCAGTGAGTTCAGGGCAGCCTGGGCTACATAGCAAGTTCCTGTCTTAAAAAAACAAAAGAATCCTCTAATCTAAATTCTTTAACTCTGATTAGCTTAAGGCTCTCTTTCAGAATCTTTTTAAAATTTTGATTTCTCGTCTTAGTAAATCACATACACACGCATACACTCTCCCACTTGCAGAGTTCACATATCTAAGGAGTATCTACAGAGCTCGGGTTCACAAAGCTGTGATGATAAGGACTCAGCTGCACAGAGCTGTCATCACATTTCAGGACATGCACTGAGGATCAGCTCATCCCAAAGCTCAATCATACGGAGAGTGTGGTGGTTTTTTTTGTTTGTTTGGTTTTTGTATGGGGATTTGAACTCCTGACCTCATGCTTGCCAGGCAGGAGCTTGTGCCACTAAGCTATATGCCAGGCCCTGGAGAGCTGGTTTTTATGACCATAGTATAATATGTTTTCCCATATTCACATCTAACAACTTTCTCTTTCTTTTTCTTTTTTGTCTTTTTAAAACAGTCTGTGTGGTTCAGGCTGGCCTTGAGCTCACTTTGTAGCCCAGGCTGATCTCAGACTCTCAGCGACCCTCCTGCCTCAGTCTCCTGAGTGCTGGGGTTACAGGCATGCGCCACCACACCCGGCTTAATTTATATTTTGAGACAGTCTCACTAAGTTGCCCAGTTGCCCAGGATAGGCTCAAACTTAGAATCCTGCTCTCTCAGCCTTCCAGAGGGCTAGGATTGCAGGTGTACATCACCACACCCCACTGGCACTGACTGGATTTTGCCCAGGTGCTGTAGGTTGTTAAATCTTGTGTTAATGTTCTGTGACTGAACTGTCTGTAGTGATGGAAATGTTCTATATCTGTATGTGGTGTGGTAATCACTAGTTGCATGTGACTTTTGAGTACTTCAGAGTTAGCTGTGCAACTGAGGGCTTGTGCTTCCTAAATTATCATATTCTATCAAATTTCAAGTCACATAGCCACATATAGCTAGTGGCTGCAGTATTGGCCAGTGTAGCCATAGAGCTGTGTTTGTAATATCTTGGACAGGTACTTAGTCAATGTTTTATGTGATTAAATTGGAAAATAGGGCTAGGATATAGCTCAATAGTACAGCACCTACCTGGCAAGCATGAAATCCTGAGTTCAATTCCTGGTACTAAAAAAAGTAAACAGGAAAGTCACCTTTTCCTGTGTTATTCCTAACAGGACAAAATGATGACAGAGAGAACCCTGCTGAAGGAACGTTACCAGGAAGTCCTGGACAAACAGAGGCAAGTGGAGAATCAGCTCCAAGTACAATTAAAGCAACTCCAGCAAAGGAGAGAAGAAGAAATGAAGAATCACCAGGTATTTGTTAGTATTGACATTGTCAGACTTCAGATGTGTCTCGGTGGTAGAGCCCTTGCCTGGTATGTACGAGGCCCTGGGTTCCATCTTCTAGTCTGCAAAAAAAGGAAAATAAGGAAATAAATAGTTGATGAATAAAAACAGCAATCCTTGATCATACTTCAAATATGTTCCCAAGTCAGTAGAAACAGAAAAGCAGTATTTACCTTTAAAAGCAGTATTTTCACAGGATTTTAAGAATAACAACTTTGAAGGTCATCTTGCTCAAACTCTTCTGTTATTGTTCAGAGTGGAAAAGAAGTCTATCTGGGAAGTAATGTGGTGTCCTATCTCATATGTTTAAGTCTAAGTAGCTTAAAAATTGACATTAAAAGCTAGAAAAAGGGTTGGGGATTTAGCTTAACCGCATAAATGCCTGCCTCACAAGCATGTGGTCATGAGTTCAATCCCCAGTAAAAAAAAAACCAGAAAAACTTTAGAAGAAAATTTGGGAGAATGTTTATAAAACTTAAAGTGGCAAGGCAGAAAGCGTAGAACTGTGAAGAAAGAGATCAGTTAGCTTAGTTACATCCAGTGATAACTACCAAGGAATAGAAAAGTCACCTGGAAGATTGTTAGACTGAGAAAAACCATTTGTAGCACATCTGCCAGAGAGTTTAATATCTGCTGATATTCTGAATATTTCTACAAATGCGTGGTAAAAGTCCAGCAATCTAGAGAAAAGCCCAGAAACATTATTGTGGGGTTGTGGCTGCAGCTCAGTGGTAGTGCGAATGCTCAGCGTGCACCATCCTCTGGGTTCAGTCACCAGCGCCACTTAACAAGAAAGGCTGTTGAGTTAGTTTCCCATAAATTACCAGGGATTTAGTGACTTGAAACATTGTAAATTTGTTATTTCATAGTTCTGTGGGTCAGAAATCTCACAAGAGTATCAGTGGACTAAAATCAAGGCGTTGGAAAGGCTGCATGCCGTTGTAGAGGCTCTGGGGACAATCGGTTTCCTTTTAGCTCGCAGAAGCCGCCCGCATTCCTTGGCTTACGGCCCTTCCTCTGTCTTTAAGCGAGCAGCATTGTGGCTGTGAGGTCTTTCTAACCTAGTCACATCTCTCTGGATCACAATTGGAAACGGTTCTCCACTTTTAAGGACTGAAGCAATTAGATGGTGCCCACCCGTATAATCAAGATAGTCACCTCAACTCGAGTCCTCATCTTAGTCATTTGTACAAAGTCTCTCTTGCTGTGGAAGGTAGTATCACACCTGGATTAGAACGTGGACACCTCGGGCAAGGGTGTTATTTTCCCACCACAGAAAACAGTAGATTACTGTAAACAGTAATTTACAGAAGGCAAAAGGCTGAAGGATTATACGTATTTGAAAAGAAATTCAGTCTTGCCGGTATTTATTTCTTGTGAACATGTCTTTGCAGTGCCTGCTGCAGGCTGTGGCGGTTCGGTGATGAGCAAAACTCAGGCTGTGTGTTCACCGAAGGCTTGTTCCAGTTGGAGACAGTAAAGACAACAAATTTAAAGAAATACGTATTACAGTGATTAGATGTTACCCTTTTCCCTTTTCTTGCTCCCTCACTGATCAGCAGAAATGAAGTAAGCTATCGGTGGTGAGGCAGAGTGAACCCTTTCAAAGATTACCAGTAGGCACCATTTTGGGAAAGTTACTAAGAATTGTCAGTTAAAATTTAAAATTCTCATATAAAATGATGTAGCAGTCTTATATTGAGTCCATTCTCCCAAAAGAAGTTTTTGTGTGAAAGTGTAGACATACAGCGTGTTTATTGCAGTATGTTCAAAAAATTAACCAGGTAGCCCATGCTTAGAATCTCAGCACTAGAAGACTGAAGCAGGAAGATTGTGAGTCCAAAACCATCCTGGGAAATGTAGCAGGACTTTCTCTCAAAAAACCAAAAGCCCAAAGTAAAAACAAAATTAGAAATATAATTATGGGGGGCTGGGGATTTAGCTCAGCGGCATAAGTGCCTGCCTTGCAAGCAGGCAGTCGTGAGTTGGATCCCCGGACCGATAAAGATGAAAAAGACCAAAAAAAACATTATGGGTTAGAAATGCAATTACAAAAGTATTCAACCTGGAAGCCTTTTTTTTTTTTTTTTTTTTTTTTGGTACTAGAACTTGAACTCAGGACCTCATGCTTGCCAGGCAGGTGCTGTACCACTGAGCTAAATCCCCAGCCCCTGTTAACCTGAGGGGCTTTTAACAGAATGATTGGCTAAATTCTGTGTATATCCATGTGAAGTCATGTTATACAGCTAGTTGAATTAGATCTTGATTGACATAGTACATGGCTGCCAACTGAAGAAAAACAGCATACAAAATAATTTACAATGCCGCATTAAAAAGAAAAGCAGGCTGAGGATACAGCTTGGAGAGAGTGCGTGCTTACATGCACAACACCCGCAGTTTGACCCAAAGCAAATGAAAAACCCCCGAACACATTGGTACCTGTGTGGTGTGAGGGGACAGGATGTGGAAGCATGATATGCGGCACATTGCTTACCCTGGTGGGCGGAAGAGGTGTGAGGTTGGGGTGGCTGTTAACGCTTCCACTCTGGTGTTATTTGACTTTTATTACAAATGCATGTGCATATGTGTTTGTTACTGTTATTAAATAGTAAAATATGTGTTTGTTACTGTTATTAAATAGTAAAAAGGCAAACAAAAACTCCATACATAATAAAATAGAACTGTTACAAACAAAGACCATGTTTGTTGGGTGCAGTAAATTCCCACCTGGAGGAAGAACACCTTGTATACATGTTTAGCAGCTGTCTGCACCTGAATTGCTTAGGAGAGCAGATTGCTCCATAAGGCAGGACATTCTGTTTCTGTTCGTTGGGTTTTGGTGGTTTTTTTTTTTTTTTTTTGAGACAGGGTCTCACTGTGTAATGCAGGCTGGCCTTGAACTTGCTTATGTAGCTCAGGCTGGCCTCAAACTCGCAGTGATCCTCTTGCCTCAGCTTCTTGCGTGCTGGGATTATAGGCGTGGACGCCATGCCTGGCACCATTTATGAAAGTTATGAATGTTGGAGTTCCTTCTATTGAGTGTAAGTCTGTTGCTCTTGAAACTTTCACCCTGAGTTTGGATACTGGTTTTTGGAGCTACTCATCAACTAGATTCTTTGAATTTAGTTTGAATCTGCTAAAGTCAATATATGAACTTGTCAGATTGTTGAAAATAGCCATCAAATTAAAAGAACTAACTGATTTCCTTCTTTGTCTGATTGGAATCGTGGGATTTAGGAGATTTTAAAAGCTATTCAAGATGTGACCATAAAGCGGGAAGAAACAAAAAAGAAGATAGAGAAAGAAAAGAAGGAGTTTTTACAGAAAGAACAGGATCTCAAAGCTGAAATTGAGAAGCTTTGTGAGAAGGGCAGAAGGTAAATAATGCCGCAAGCATGAAATCCCTTCGTATGTGTGCATCTGTGTGCACAAGGGGCCAGTCCTGTGGGTGTAGTTTGTTTTCTTTTAGTCTCAGTTTTTTTGAAAAACAATTGAAAACAGTTTTGCAGTCACTTGGCATTCACAGTATTCTATATTACATTTAGTAGAGAAGAGTCTTAGAGAGTTTACTTTTCTTTCTTTTTCTTTGTTTTGGTCTTTTTGAGAGGGTTTTGCTGGCCTTCATTTCACTTTGTAGCTCAGGCCGGCCTCAGATTCATAGCGGTCTTCCTGCTTTCGCCTCCTGAGTTCTGAGATGTCAGGAGTATGTTGCTGTACTCAGTGATTCCACACTTGGAAATATGCAGTTTAGGAGCTGGGAGTGCAGCTTGGTGGTGCAGCATGTGCTTAATACACGTAAGGGCCTGAGTTCAGTTGCCAGCACCAAACAAATAAGTAAATAAATAATTTTTTTTATTTACTTATTTTTGAAGTTAAATATAAAGTCTAAAATATGATCAAGGTTTTGATATGCATTTAACATTTATTTCACTTGCTTTGTAAGCTGAGTTTTTAAAACAACCTTAAGCCATAAGAATATTCTGAATGATTAAATTTCAAACAGTAATGTAAGCTATTTATGAAAAAATTATCCAGTAGATTTGTGACCTTTTCTGGGTACTTCAACAAGAAAAAGATGGGCATATGATTTAGTCAAATTCTCAATTTTCCAAGTTTCTTCAGATGAACTGTTTGGAAATGAAGATAGCTGTGAATACTGTGGTAATTTATTAAAACGCATTTGTGTTTATTGAAAAAATCTTGGCTTTTGCAAATGTGTTAGAATGGTGCTTGGAAAGTAGCAAGTGTGCGTGCTGAACCATCCTCCAGATCTGAGGGTCGCTGTGGAAGCTCCGGATGAGAAGGGATGTTTGGGCGAGGGCGAGTGGCCTGTCCATTGCTGGGTGAAAATCTAGGGATACCGCGTGATTAGAGATGAGGCAGTTGTCCGTGGTAATCAGCCGCTGTGTGTGCTCGGAGCAGAACACTGTCCTGGGCGTTGATGTGCCCAGAACCAGTGCTCCCCTGGCCCCGCATCCTTGCCGCTGTCCTCACTGTGGGTGGGGAGGTGGAGCAGACAGGCACACGCAGCAGCTTAGCAGCAGGTGTTGTAGTAACAGACCTCGGGAAGCTGAGTCTGTAATTTTATTTTAGGCCTTGTCATGTGCAGTCTTTGCATTCCTTCTTTTTTCTACCTGACTAAATAGCTGAAATGATGATTGAGCTGGGTGTGATGACACACTCCCATATCGTGGGAGGCTGAGGCAGGAGGATCAGAGTCTGAGCCTACCCTGGGAAACTTGGTGACCTAGTGAGACTGTCTCAAATAAGACTGTCTCAAATAAGAAAAGAAAAAAGGGGTGGGCATGGGGATATAGCTCAGTAGGTCTACGGGTTAAATCCTTAGTTCTACAATAATAAATAAAGACAACGATCGATACGAACAGTGTTGCTACTTGTTATATTAAAGATTATATTTTTTAATTGTATGATGAGACTATCAGAATGATATTTTCTGTCATTCTTTCTGCTAAACATGTGACTTTTTTCCCCAAAGCATCCTGGGATGAAGGCTTCTGTGTAACTATGTTTTAGCTACAGTGTAGATTTTGTTTAGCATTCTGTCATCCACAGAGACTGGCACAGAGATTTTTTCCCCCTTGGGCTGCCATAACAGAATGCTACAGACTAGCGGGCTTCAGTAACAGGAACACATGTTCTCCAGGCTCTGGAGGCTGCCAGCCCCGCGTCAGGGTTCTGGCCACCTTGACTTCTGGTGAGGACTCTTCCTGGCTCGGGGGTGGCTCCCTTCTTGCTCTGCTCCCCTCTGTGTGTGAACACTCGTGAGGTCTCTTTCTTTTACGAGGACAGTAATCTGGTTGGGTTTGGGCCCCACTCCTGTGATCTCATTTAACCTTAATTACCTCTTTCAAGCCCTGTGTTCAGACATAGTAACATTCTGGTGCAGGCTTCAACCGAGGAGTGGGAGGGCGGGGCAGGGCAGTTAGTCCATTTCCTGTTCTTAGCTATTTTATTTGCTCAGCATTTGTTGAGTAGCTCCTATAAGTCAGAGAGCATAGATCAAGAGACTAGAAGGTCTTGCTTTCTGTTTATTAGGGAAGAAAGATAAATAAATAGGGATGTACAAAGTAGCTAGAGATGGTATAATAACAATAGTAGGAAAGGGTCTAAAAAAGGCGTGTAGCCAGACTGGGGAGCGGGAGCCAGAAAGGATAATATGGAGCCAGAGGGTGAGACTTGAGAACTGAGTCCTCAGCTAGAAGAGAGGAGTGTGCTGTGCATGATCCTTGGTTTGTTCCTGGATTAAACACAGGAGTAAGTAGCCAAACTGTAAGAAACATTCTGGGATGCTTGGGAAAACTTGAATATGGGCTACATATTAGGTAGTAATGTAACAAACACTTTTAATATTCCAGGTGTGCTAATGCTGTTGTTTGACTGGTTAGAGGATGTTTTGTTCTGAAGGCTTTTATTCAAGTTGTAGAGGTTAAAGAGTATAAAAGTGGTGAGTCTAGATGAAAGTATATGTTCATTTGTGTTATCCTATCAATTTGCTGTTGGTTTGAAATTTTCAGAGCAAAAATAGTGAGAATGGGTATTGATATAGGGAGGAATTGGCCAGGCAACAAATGGGAGGAGGAAAGACATTGCAGACCAGAACGAGAACGGTGACTTAGTGGGAGGGGCAGGCGCAGGACTTAGGCCAGCAGAGGTCATCAAGGCATGCATCCTGTTAAGGCCGGCGGTGTTCGGGCTTTTTTCCCCCTAAAAGTGAGATCTAAAAGATTTTCGGAGAGGAGGGGCTATCAAATGCTATGATTTACATTTTAATTAAATCACTTAGGCAATTGGAAAGTGGATTGAAGGAATACAGATGACAGTTAAGAGACTTGGAACTCGGGTGGTTATAATAATGATGGCCAGAGCTAAAGCGGTTGAGAAGTGTTTTATAATACAGGTGAAGCAGCCCTGGCCAGTGCGTGCAGAGGGAGAGGACTTAGAAATAACTCCATGCTTGGGTTTGGAAAGCTGGGAAAATAATGCAGCTCTTTTGTAAGGTTCCTTATTCATCTTAAAGATTTTGAGGGCATCCCGTTTGGGACCTCTCCTGTCTCTCAGAAGCTACTCCTAGTCCTCAGTCTCACCTTTTTTTTTTTTTTTGTAGTTTAGGCCTTCAGGTCACTTTGTAGCCCAGGGTGGTCTACAAAGAACTCACAATGATCGTCCTGCCTCAGTTTCCCATGTTCTGGGATTACAGGCATGTGCTACCATGCCCAGCTCCCATTCCTTTTCCCAGTAAATTTTCCTACTTAAAAAAAAGTAGATTTTGAAATAACTCAAATTCTATCCCTTTTGTAGTCTCTTTTAGTTTTTTTTTTTTTTGTACTGGGGATTGAACTCACGACTTCGCGTTTGCCAAGCAAGCACTTACGCTAAGTGCTTGCTTAGCATTTGTTGAGTAGCTCCTATAAGTCAGAGCTAAACCCCAGGCCCTCCCTTAGTTTTTATCCCAAACTGAAACGGAATTGTTTTTATTTATTTATTTTTGATACCAGGGAGCAAACTAACGACCTCTCGCTTGCCAGGCAGGTGCGTATGCCGCTGAGCTAACTCTCCAGTGAAACTGAATTTCTTAAAAACAGTTCTTATTCTTTTGTGTTCTCTTATGCCACTTTGTTCAGTGCTACCATATATACCTGGTAATATTTGATAAGGATTTATTAGATCATTCAATTAGAAATTAAAAGAATTTCATATTGATATTATATAAAGATAAACAATAGAAATCTGCTAAGTACTTTGTACTATTTGGAGGTAGTCACTTGTTATTTCTTTTTTTTTCTTTGTATTTATTTTGTATTCTAATATAAGTTTTGAAGAAGATAACCTGAATTGACCAAAAGTTAAAATAGTAGACATTCAAATTAGGCATGTATTTGGTTTTTTTCCTCCTGGATGTGGGTGCTTTGTTCTGAAGTTGCGCTTCATGGGGACATTCTCTAGTTCTGGTTTGCAGAGGTGAGGCTTGCATGCTCATGCTCTTCCATGGTTGGACCTCTTTTAAGCTCCTGCCCCTAGCAGTGACTCATTGAGATTTAATAGCATGTAAGGCCAATGATGACTCTGTGCTTCCAAGGATATCAAGCAGGCTGGGGCTCGAGCTACTGGCATGCTTGCCTGGCATGCATGAGTCCTGGGTTCCATCCCTAGTACTGCAAAGGCAAAAAGTCTAGCTGGGCTTTGTGGAGCTCTCCTGTAACCCCAGCACTTTGGGAGTCTGAGGCTGAAGGATAGGAGCCCAACCTAGGCAGCTTAGTGACTTAGCAAGAACCTGTCTCAAAACAGAACAGTAGAACTGGGGATGCAGTTGAGTGCTGGATCCTGGCATTAATTAGTTCCTAGAACTGAAAATAAAAATAAAAAACACCCATTGAAACAACACCCATCAAAACTAAAGGCTATCATCAGATGATTCATATTCTCTTAGTTTAACTAGGGACAAGGAGCATAAAAATTGCAGCACATGAAACAAGATTCTTTTTAAGATCCTCTGTATTTGCCTGATGAGCTGGTAGATAAGTGACAGGAAGTAGCAGATCCAGGGAGTTACTGATGGAAGCATTGCTCTGGGTGTGATAAAAGTCTATGCTAAGTTAAATTTGCAAGGAGCAAAAGGATTCATTTTGGAGATTTCTCACTAAATGTGGTTGTACTTCTCGATATGCTTTAAAGTTCTAACAGTTGCCCACCAGTCAGCAAACTGGCGAATGTTCTTAGAGGTATTCTTGGCTGTTGCAACATAATATATTTTGACCATAACCCTCAGTCTTTGCAGCTTTCTGTCCCATCCTCAGTAAATCTACACTTTGATTACATCAAGATCTCTTTCTTGTTCTGTGACCTGGTTGCACTTTCC